TGATCCCTGTGGCACAAGACTAATTTCCGTCGCATGTCAAAGGCTGGGTTCTTTCTTTTCTTTAAGCCGACGTTGTCTATGTGACGTAACATGATACCATTAATTACAGTGTCTGTCAATGAGGCGGGCGAGGTATCGTCTTGGTTAGGGTGATCTGCGTTCAATACGCTGGGAATTCCGCAATGACTTGCAGGGAATTGTGAGAGCGTCTTTCATTGAAGAAATAACCATGACATCACTGAGTCTCCACGTGAGGAGGTGTCTGTGGCGAGGACAATACACAAACGACCATAAAGAACGGAGATTGGTCGTAGGGAATCCGCGTAAGAACGGATTCATTGTAATTCATGAGGGTCTTAAGGGGGGGGGGGGGGGGGGGGGGGGGGGGGTATCGTACATACATATTTTTATATTAAAAACTATGAGTCTGAATGTTTTCTTAACGATAAACACTTTGCAACAACGTATTTTTTTGTGGCAGCCTCTTTCTTTTTATTTCCAAAGGCCTGAAGCATAATTATTTGTTAAAGGAAATTCGGAGACATTTTATTTTTTGCTCTCCGCCCTTCACTGTCAAACTATTCTTCTCCCTCTCTGTAAGTCAAGCCGTGTCCTTTGAGATCACTGTTAATCTCTTCCTCTGTACATCTCAACCTTCACTGTAAAACTCTTCTCTCTATAAAACAATCTCCGCCTTCATTGTCAAACTCTTCTCTTTATACGTCAATCCGCGTCCTTCATTGTCAAACTCTTCCTCCGTACATCTAAATCTCTACCTTCACTGTCAATCTCTTCTTTTCTCCTTCGAGATCACTGTCAATCGCTTCCTCTGTACATCTCAACCTTCACTGTAAAACTCTTCTCTCTATAAAACAATCTCCGCCTTCATTGTCAAACTCTTCTCTTTATACGTCAATCCGCGTCCTTCACAGTCAAACTCTTCCTCCGTACATCTCAGTCTCTACCTTCACGGTAAAACTCTTCTTTTCTCTTTAACTCAACCTGACCCGTGAAGATGCGGGTTAGGATAGGTCTTCAGCAACCCATGATTGTCGTAAGAGGCGTCTAAGGGGATGTCAACCCAAAACACTCTTTACCTTCACGTGTTAATTCCCTTGGCAGCCGAACGCTGCTACTGTCATACCTTACATCACATTATAGTCAAACAGGCTCTTCCTCTCTCTATCTCTCTAATCCCCTCCTACAACCTACTGAACCCCCCTCCCCTCCCCAAGCCCGCGCCCCTGTACCGCGGTTGTACGAGACGGTTGATACAAGACCCCCTTCCCCAATACGTGACTCGCATAATGTAACTTACACACAAGCCACAAAAACCGCGCACCTCTCGCCCTGCTCGCAACAACACTATTGGGGGCTTCATCGTGAACTACAAACTCAGCATTGACTGAATACAAGAATAGATTTATCTGGTATTCGTTTGATCAAGTGATAGCGTGTTTGTCTTACTGTACTCAGTCCTAGTACCATTGATTCCTGGCGCGGCGTGAGCGAGGATGTAAACACTAGGTACTGTAATGCTAATCCCAGCGTCTTCGGGTCTATATTGGTACACATACTGTATTTGTACAGTAGACAAACAACTGTAAAATGCTACTTTCGGTTACCGTACGTAAAGAAATAACCGAACGTCTTTTGTTTGCATTTTTTATAGTTTTTTTGTCTTATCAAATATGTAGAATGTCACTTTTCGTTTGATACGCCACATATATATTCAGATCTAGGATTATTATTAATATCTTACACGGAAAACTTGTCAGTCATCCACGACTATTTTCTACATGTGTTGGTATCGCGTTGAGCGAAGATGGATCTAGACTTACTCAAGGCTCATATCGTTGTTAAAATAATACGGCGCCGAATGAGGTTAGCTTTACGATGGCCATAGCGAAAATATCAAGACTTTAAACCATCATGATGACATCATGCTATTGTTGTTGCAGTTGATTCTGAGTCAGGAATTCCCTGGCCATTCTGAATGCGCATTTTAACAAGAAAGACTGACGCAACTATAGGTCATTCTGCAAAATTATAGAGAAATTAAATATATACCATAACATTGTTTAAGTCGGAGAAATCCCTGGGATATGTTCATTCCGGAAGTAGATTTCTTCATTACTTAACATTAACAATTCCTATGATACAGGGCGATCTGATGAGAAGATATGATATTCTGTACAGTCTAAGAGTAAGTGGGGTAGCCAAGAATTTAAAGCGTTCACTCGCCACGCCGAAAACCCGGGTTCGATTCTCCACATGGGTACAGTGTGTGAAGTCCATTTCTGGTGTCTCCCGCCGTGATATTGCTGGAATATTACTAAAAGCGGCGTAAAACCATACTCTCATTCACTAAGCGTAAGCGTAAATCGGATGCAAAACTATGTCAACCGTATGTATAAAGTGGAACCCCCATTATACGGACTGTTTAGATATTACGTGTGTCCCTGTATGTGCTATTGGAATATAACCATGTGTACATTAGTTTGGGTTATTATGATGGAAATTACACCACAGCATTACACAGGTAGAACACCAAATGAGTGTATGCTACTTTACTCTGTAGTGTATTATTCCATCTATAACTGACCTATACTGAACCGCAAAAGAAACGTCACTCCAAGTAACATTGCATGAAAAGTTGTCATTTAAATATCTGGGTAATGCTTGTTTAATTTTCTAAAATTTAACATTACCTTGTCCGAGAAAATGAAATTTGATGATTAAAAAACCAAAGCAGATGACAATGAAACCGATCGCCCAAATGCATCACGGCAACGGCCATGGTAACCCGATGCACGTGAGTTCCGTGCAAATTAAAATGGACATGAGTTCCCCCATTTTTTGCCCTATAAAAATCCACCTAGATCGGATAACATTCATTCGTTATTGAATTGCCAGCACATGCCAAGATTGACAAGAAATCAGCGAAACCAAGCCCTTGGACGATTGCAAGCTGGACAAACCGCCCGGCAAGTCGCCAATGCATTTTAACTCCACGTAAGGACCATATTCAGGCTCCAGCAACGGTACCAGACCAACAACACTACAGATGACCGACCACGTAGTGGAAGACCAATGGTCACCACCCGACGCCAGGATCGTCAGACTGTGCGACAGCATCTTCAAGATCGCTTTGTTACTGCTCGACAGACCATGGGGACACACCAGCGACACATTAGTGCGAACACCGTGCGTCAACGACTGACGAGCAGACACCTCCACTGTCACAGGCCACACCGAGGACCCATTCTGACACCACGTCATCGCCGTGACCGTCTTCAGTGGGTAACACACCACCAGCATTGGCGCCATCAGCAGTGGAGAAGAGTCCTCTTCTCAGACGAGAGCCGTTACTGTATCTCAACAGCAGATGAGAGAGAGAGAGAGAGAGAGAGAGAGAGAGAGAGAGAGAGAGAGAGAGAGTCTAGTGACGCCGTGGGGAACGTTATTCGGATGCTTGTGTTGTTGAGAGGTCCGAGCATAATGGTGTGAGGTGGAATTGGTCTTGCACAGAGAGTCAGCCCTGTGGTGTTCCAGAACATCGGTCCAGGGAGAGGCAATGGTGTCACAGCAGTTCGGTACATTGATCAATGTCGCCGCAACCACGAGTTTCAGCATGATAACGCACGTGCCCACAATGCGAGAGCAACAAGAGACTTCCTCCAGCAGAATGGCATCAGAACCATGCAGTGGCCTGCCCTCAGTCCCGATTTAAATCCCATTGAGCACCTGTGGGACGAGATTCAAAGACGGCTGAATGACGTCCGGCCAAGGCCGACAACTGCAGCTGAACTACGTCAGGCGTTCCTCAGAGTGGGCACAAGTGCCTATGGCCTTCATCAACCGCCTCATCCACTCCATCTATCGACATTGTACGGCAGTCATCAATGCACATGCCGGACACACGATATACTAGAGACTAGTAATGTGTTTCACTTTAAGAACATTTGCCACTTTAATTTCAACCTTGATGATCAGTTTTGCCAAGTTTCATCTTTTTAATATGTCTCAAAGTATGTTTACAGTGTTTGGACAAATAAGGTTTCTCATATGTCTTTCCATGGCGACGTTTCTTTTGCGGTTCAGTATATAAAGATCAAGCATGGACTAGACAAACCAATGGTCCAAGCCACATGCATTGATCAATGTCATCAGGGAAAGATGAGTGAGTGAGTGAGTGAGTATGGACGCAACTCTGCACAGCGAAGTGGATGACTGGACCACCAAGATGTTAGAAGAATGTGAAGACATGACGGTGTTATGGATAACGCCGAAAGGTCGTTACAGTCAAAATGAAAAGGTTGTTATCCATAACAGTTTCATGTCAGTGTCAGGAGTACAGAAGTACAAAAGTCCCAACTGAAACCCGGGAACACGGATATGGCAGAAGTCTAATGATCATAAACTGGGCCAATCTGGGATTCAAACTCACAATGAGCTGATCTAGGGGCACCTGTGTTTTTAAAGTATCTTCAGAGGATGAAATGGCACAGGATCTGCAGTACTTCATGTTACCCTCACCGTTGGACGCACTTCACATATACCATTGGTGCCGCGACAGATCAGCTCCACGACAGGATGTCGAGTGTTTTGCTGTGGGCGACGGTCCACGACTGCCGTATACGAATCTACATGAAGGTTCCATAGTTGCATGAGTGAGTTTAGTGAACTGGATTTCATTTTACGGCCTCACAGCTTAATATGGGACGAAAAGCACACAGTGATGCAGGTCTTACACGTTTATTATTTTGTAAAACCTACGTCAATGACTAAATAAGTGTCATAATTAGAACTAATATAGGATTCGAACCCACGATCCTGGAACGCCTGAGGGACGCAACTCTGCATAGCGCCTTAGTTTACTGGTCCACCCGTTTCCTATATGCACAAATCGTAAGTCCAGTACTATGCTAAAGTGTAGGAATTACATAGAAAATTCCAGATGGGATTTCTTATAAAAAAACCAATTAAGTTACAAAGACTTGATTTTCGAAACATTTAATGTTGTACAATATTCATTATTTCATTACAATTACATCAAATATCCTTCATGATGTTCCGAGCTGGTGGTTATGTTATATATTGATCGACTGCTTGCATCTGTTGTCATACATTTTCGATGAATTTTAATTTGCTGAAGTTGCCTTGCCCATGATCTCCGTTGGACAACTCCGAATAAGGAGAACCTGGTGGTAGACGGTGCTTGGAGCTACTGCTGGAGACACTCTTGGGAGTACTTGTCGAGAGATCGATCTTTGCTGCGGACGCATTACCTCTGACATATGCTTTTGGATTGCAGATTTAGATGCAGATGACTTTGAAATGTGGCCTAACACTGGAAGTGAGGACACAATCTTCTTATCTCTGATGACAAATGATCGGGCATGACGTGATGGTGGAGCTTTTCGATTACTGTGGCAGGGGTGGTGGACGCGACATGGTATCGGTGGCAGAAATGATGGATAGTTTTGAACTTTGGCGACCGGAAGGACACTCTCCCTTACACAACTCTTGGATTGACCAATATTCCCTGCCGTACAGGACTCGTGGTGCGCCGCACCGCAGGACACGGACCTTTCCTGAACACAACTCGAGGTTCTCTTCAGCTTTGAGCTCCTGTATGGAGTAACGGGAGAAAAGCACCGACTGGAACAATACGAATAGTGGACTCTAGGAAAACTATAGTCTCTATTCACGATTGCAACATCACTGTGTTGACGCCAATGATTCCTGTCGTTTATTGTGGGGTTGTATACAGACTCTGTCGTCACCACATCAGGGATTGGGCTATACCTGCACGTGGATGGTGTGGTGTAGACTTCGGTCTTCATTTCATCCTGTGCATGTCCACACAACGTTGTAGGAGAACTTAACGGACCTACTGAGGCGGTTACAGTATCAGGGAACATAGAATCTTCTTCTCTTGACTGTCGACTTGATTCTTTCCGTGTTGCGGAGACATCTCCTTGAAATGTGATGTGAACTCTCCTCCCACCTTGAGATGTGTCTGAAGATGTTCTGTCTATTCTTGGTGCGCCAGGTCTTAGCCCAATGAGGACATCAGGTTCAAATCTTGTCCTCCTACGAGGAGCTACATCCTCTTTGCCTCGGCCCTGGGGTACTGAGGTAAACCGGAAGGCGTCTGAAGCTCTGTCTCCGGAAGACTCGGGGGAGCTGATGGGAGCGGTCCCTCCAAGGTGGAATGTTATGTCGGGCGTGACTGCTGTGCTGCCCGTGTAGTGGAGTTGGTAGGGGCGAGTGTCTGCTAGGAAAGTGAGGCTTGCTGTGGGTGACGCATCTTCGTCTTGTGAACCCTGATCTGAAACGAGGAATGCTCAAATTGTAGGGCTGACTAATGGCTACATTTCAAACTGATTCACATATACACAGGAATAGTATTTCAGATATAGGCTGATTGTCGGAGGCAGCTGAAAGAGCCAAAATTGCTGATGGACACAGAATAAAATAACCGGGAAGAATCTGAGATACGAACCCACGACCAGCGATTTGAGGTAGCTGAATCAAAGGGTAATTTTTTTTACTATGATCAATAGAAGTCTGCTTAAAGCCGGGTAACCTTCGCACGATAAGCATGTGTTTATATATACTTAGTCTATAAAAAAGGGATCACAACAGGTGTTCAGGAAAATGTGTGTATATACTGCCTCACCGATGACACCCGTCAAAAACACACGCACATCTCAGGCAAGTTTACTTTTCACCTGAAATACTCGGGAACATATGGTACAAGTCAAAATACGGAATGGCATGAAATATAATGGCTGTCACTGAAGCTTAACCCCGTTCATCTGGACCTCGTTAATCCCGACGTTCGTAGTTGTGAACGTTTATATATGCACTTGTGTGTGTGTGGCTGCTTGTACTAGTCCGGACCAATACCGATTTTTATAGTGCTATCCCTATGAGATACCATGGCACAGTTTAATAATGGTACTCTAGTCAGACACAGTATACAGACACCGTGCCGATCAGCCCTTGTTTTATCCCCTTAAAGCCGAGCGGCAGGCAGGGTAACAACAACTGCCAATTTTTAACGTCTTGTATGCGACCGATCATCGAACCACAGAGCTTTTGCTCTCCGGGCAGATCCAGTAGCCACTAAACCACGGACCCGGTCTATATAATTGTGCAAAGAGATATTACTCAATCCCCATGATTCGTTCATCCGGAGGCTTTCACAGACAATGTTACTCAGATATCACGCCACGGAGCATGGGTACATGGGCAGATCACTGTTCTGTGGGTTAAAACATCATCTCTTACTTGAATTCCAAGATAGTATGGATGTATTTTTTTCTACGGTCCTCTTCTCCAGGGTATTTATCTTTCTCCTGTTGCCTGGGGGAATACCCTGAAGTGTGGACTGCCCTGGCCTGGGGAGACTCAAATTCACCTTCGGGCAGTACTTCCTCGGGGCGCAGCTTTTCCGGCCGTTAACGGGGTTGTCCAGGGTTATCCCCCTTGGTATACATCGCACATTCTTGGAGGATCGTTGGCACTGTTTCTCCTTCTCCCGACAGATATTAATAAAGGCCTTGATGCTGTGGTTCTGGTGGGACACTTCAACAGAGGAGCTCTCCATCATGTCGTGGTGTAGCTGGTACCGAATCATCTTCAGTTTCAGGCTGGCGTTGTCGTCCAAGGCACGTCTGTATTCTCGTCGCCATCTTGCAACGTCTTCGACTGCCATCTCTGTGAGACTTCTCGCCTTACGGACACACTGTTGAAGATCACTTTCGGCGGAGGCCATATCTTCGAACGCTTGTCGAGCGATTTCCATTTCTCTGGAAGTATAAATAGTTTAATATATGGAGACCCATTCTGACCCGGAACCAACACGAGGACAAAAACGTGGAAACTTGAGACCTATTCTATCCCGGAACCCACGAAGGAAGAAAAAGCATGGGGAACTGGGGACCTAGTCTGTCCATCCTGTCCATAAGCAACTACCTATTGCGGTGTTTCCGGACTTACGGGGTTTGTGTGCAGTGTCCGAAATAAATAAAATATTGCAAGGCTGTCATCAGGACAGACCCACAGACTTTGGGAGCTGCAGGCTCTGATTAAACTCCCCAAGCCCTCATTTCAAAAACTAAAGTTATTGTGACAAATAAATAGACATGTAAATTTACTGCAGGCCACAAGGACCCATACAACTTTGAAACTACGGGCCGGACACGAGATCCTCCACGGGCCAACGGGCAGGCGTTTATTCGAACACTATTTCTGTGTCGGGAGTACTCACTGTCTGCTGGTGAGAAGCTCCTTCTCAACCAGGTCGATGGCCATCCGGGCCTTGCCGTACACCTCGCACAGGCTCCACGTGAGGGACCGGGCCTCCTGGCTCAAGCGGCTCCCGAAACTCTCTACAAAGTACACAGATGATTAGATACACTCACCTTGTCGGAGAGAAAACAGAGGTTATGTGTTGTTATTATTATTATTATACAACGTTAGAAATTGGCACTTATGCTGTAGTCCTTGCCAAACTGCCCAATAGTAAAGGTATCATAAGGACCAGTAAAGATTTGCCATTTTTAGGGGTTTTGCTATGTGTTATCATTATAAGGTCAAGTTGACTGAAACCGTTAGTTTCTTCCGCTGTTATACAAATTAAAGTTTCGTGTATGACCACACTTTTACCGAAAGCATTTCATTCGCCTTTTAACGTAGAGGTGGTTCTTGTTGGGGACCCGTGAAGATCCGGGTTAGAATAGGTCTTCAGCAACTAATGCTTGCCGTAAAAGGCGACTATGCTTGTCGAAGAGGCGACTAACGGGATCGGGTGGTCAGGCTCGCTGAGCTTCTCAACCAAGGCAGCGAGCCTGACCACCTGATGCCGTTAGTCGCCTCTTACGACAAGGCGGACAAGCATAGTCGCCTTTTACGGCAAGCATAAGTTGCTGAAGACCTATTCTAACCCGGATCTTCACGGGCTTAGAATCTTAATTATCAGTCATTCAATCAGCTATTTTACCATCTCAACAAAATAGCAAAGAAAATATCCATTTGCCTCTGGGATTTTCGTCATAGACGCATGAGCAGAAATTAAAAATGAAGTTTTATCTTATTTGTAAGTGGGTAGTGTTTTATGCCGCTCTCAGCAATATTCCAGGCGGGCTCCACATATTGTACCCATATTGAGAATCGAACCCGGACATTCGGCGTTAACTCAACAACACCATCAACGACAACAACAACATTAACAATGATGATTAAAAGTTCAACAACAATATGAACAACAATACGATGACGACGATGATAATGATGATAAAAGCACATTCTTTTATAATGTTAACATTAATATCATTTATTTTATTATTTGGATTATCATCGTCATCAAACGTGGTCCTAACCCATTTTATTCACAAATACTATTCTCCACGTTACCTTCAAACCCGACAACCTTGATAGTAGCCGTATCTATGATCCTGTTGAGGGTGTGGGTGAGGGACACTGACTTCCCAAGGGGTGGGGTGCCATCCCTCATCAGCTCGCCCCAGGGTCTCATCGTGGAGTCGCAGGGGGTCAGAGATAGTGAGACGGACCCCTGGTCTGAGCCTGTGGGTGGAGAGTCACTCTGCATGACACGTATTACATATATGGGTGGGGTGGGTAGGTTGCGTCATGTTATCATCGCTCATATTATAAATGGTCATCTCAAAAGCTATATGGTCAATATTATTCAGTTAGTTATAAATTATTCAGCTATACAACCATATTAGGAGTCCAACTTGGAAAATAACAACAATAACTTTTCTTCTAAGAGGACATTTCGTCAATCTCATTGAAATCAGACCTTAGTTCTTGCTACCGCTAAACAAAGATCTAAAGACATCCCATTAGGGGTCACGTCAGAACGACTTTTTTTTTCATCCGACCAATCTGCGTCGCTTACCAGATTATGAAAGTGACAGTCGGAATGTGATTTCTAATCAAGCAATCTCGAAAACTTAAATATGGGGTATTCCGAACGATAGTTACGGGTTTAACGACTGAATCCTTACAATCTAGACCATCTATAAGCTATTCCAGAATCTGTTTTGTTCAGGTTTCAAATTTGTAATCGAGAATTTGTCAAAATATGTTACGAAGCGTAGTCGCCAATTTGAAATTTGTGCCGTAAAGCACGAGAAGCTGCCTTCTGATTGGTCATTCCATTGGTCGGACATAGTTCGCTCAAGGTCGGTCTGACGGGACCCGTAATGGGATGTCCTCAGATCTTTGTTTAGCGGTAGCGAGAACTAAGATCCGATTTTAATGATATTGACATTTCGTTTGATTATTTAAACAGTACTTGCACCGATGATTTGAGACGGTCCCTTCTACTGATGGGAATATCCCGTATATGTCCATCAACGGCCTGTGGCTAATGCAGTTACATCATTTATCACCGTACATATGTGAAATATACACCGCCACCGGTGTTGCCTCCTGGGAGTGATATCAGCTTTGTATCAACATATCTGTCAAGGAGGCTAACGTCAGCAGATACACAGTTCGGATGTTTTTAGATAAACACGTGACTTACGAATGCGGAATGAACGCCATGTATGCATGTTGGTATGGTTGAGTGTGTGATTAGATGGATGAGCGAGCGAGTGAGTGAGCGAGTAAATGGGTGGGTGGATGGGTGAGAGTGAGTGAGTGAGTAAATGAGTGGGTGGGTGGGTGAGAGTGAGTGAGTGAGTAAGTGAGAGAGAGGGTTAGTGAGTGAGTGAGGGGATAAGAGTGAGTGAGTGAGTGAATGAATGGTCAATCCTCGGGAATCTGTAGTACTCGAAATGCCACACATTGTATCTTTAGAACCACCGGTTGCTGTACAGGGATTAGTCCAGTTGATGGCACGGCCTCCGGTTAAGTGCCTGCTGAATGTGTTCGAGCCTTGCCAGCGGTGGTTGATAACGTGACACGGGTCCGTGGAATCAAACTACTCTGACACACTTCGCGGACCAGTCTTGACACAGCTTTTTGATCACTATTCAACCCTTTTTCATAAAGAGCCACCATTTTGTCAATTTTTGACACCCAACACGTATATAAGTCATGGGATGATGCAATTGGTGTATGAATGTGGTCACGCGTTATATCCGTGTGAGTGAGTGAGTGAGTCGGAATGGTTTTATGCCGCCTTTAGCAATATCCCAGCAAAAGGAATGGTATTCACACATTGTATCCGTGTGGTGAGTGAGTGAGTGAGTGAGTAGGGTTTTAAACCGCTTTTAGCAATATTCCAGCAAAGGAATGGTATTCACACATTGTATCCGTGTGGTGAGTGAGTGAGTGAGTGTGGTTTTAAACCGCTTTTATCAATATTCCAGCAAAAGGAATGGTATTCACACATTGTATCCGTGTGATGAGTGAGTGAGTGAGTATGGTTTTAAACCGCTTTTAGCAATATTCCAGCAAAGGAATGGTATTCACACATTGTATCCGTGTGTTGAGTGAGTGAGTGAGTATGGTTTTAAACCGCTTTTAGCAATATTCCAGCAAAAGGAATGGTATTCACACATTGTATCCGTGTGGTGAGTGAGTGAGTGCGTATGGTTTTAAACCACTTTTAGCAATATTCCAGCAAAAGGAATGGTATTCACACATTGTATCCGTGTGGTGAGTGAGTGAGTGAGTATGGTTTTAAACCGCTTTTAGCAATATTCCAGCAAAAGGAATGGTATTCACACATTGTATCCGTGTGTTGAGTGAGTGAGTGAGTATGGTTTTAAACCACTTTTAGCAATATTCCAGCAAAAGGAATGGTATTCACACATTGTATCCGTGTGGTGAGTGAGTGAGTGAGTATGGTTTTAAACCGCTTTTAACAATATTCCAGCAAAAGGAATGGTATTCACACATTGTATCCGTGTGATGAGTGAGTGAGTGAGTGAGTATGGTTTATAACCGCTTTTAGCAATATTCCAGCAAAAGGAATGGTATTCACACATTATATCCGTGTGGTGAGTGAGTGAGTGAGTGAGTGAGTGAGTGAGTGAGTGAGTATGGTTTTAAACCGCTTTTAGCAATATTCCAGCAGAAGGAATGGTATTCACACATTGTATCCGTGTGGGGAATCGAACCAGGACCATCGCTCCAATATGGAGTATAAGAGATTGCAGATGCAAGGGGTCATTTACCTTCGCAGGAGTCTTGCCCCACACTAAGGGCATGCTCCCCATCCTCGTCTTCATCTCCCTCCCCCTCCTCGATGGGTGTCAGGGGTCGACAGTCTCGGAAAGTGTGATATTTCATCTAGAAAAAAAAAGAAATGATAAGTATTGGCGTCCTGACCCCTTAGTTATCGCCATTCAAACAAGAGATATACAAACTTGCAAGACATGAGTGAGTGAGTGAGTGGATGGGTGAGTGAGTGAGTGAGTGAGTGAGTGAGTGAGTTGTAAGTCAGTGTGAGACATATATATATATATATATTATTAGAGTTTATATTGCAGTAAATAGTCGAGTCCGGGCACCCAATCAGCCAGACCCATGAAGACAAACAAACAGCGATACATTCTAAATAACAAATCCTCTTATATATGATAAACTAGTGTTTACGACTCACATGGCATGCTAGGTACCTATTCTGAGCCGGAATCTCCACGGATTGGATTGATTTAGAATTTGAAGTTAATTTATTACGCAATATCCAAACTCCTTGAGCGGACAGGAACAGCGGAAATATGATATACCAGTATTCACTTTATTGCAGAAATAAGTTTCGAGATTATTGAAAGACCACAACACAAACGTCAGATTGCTACTGATAACTGTATCTAGACGAGATGTGAATACCTGATGGCTCCACCAGGCTTCATATTATTGCAATAATTAAATCGCATTTAAGCACAATTAACTCGTTTTATTGATATATATGGGAAACGCTTCAAATCTACGGGAACACAAGTGTCTAATGTAGTTATTTATCAAGTCAATTCAGACACGTGCAGAGATACCACCCTATTTAGCACATATTTAGTTTCGAGGGTTGCTAAACGATAACGTTTTCCGTAATACTGAGAAGGACAAATTGTAAAGTGGTGAGTCATATATGTTTACGGGCATCATTGATATCAGTCAGGGCATTTAATATTTATTAGAATAGTTACAAATAATCTTTTTTTCTGCAATTTTCCGGTCATTAATCCGATATTTCACAAGAACATTATTCTGTTACATGATATTAGTGCGTTATATGAACAATAGAAAATTAAAACATATAAGTTTTAAAAAAGCTGATAGTGATGTATTTGATACTTGTGTTTTGGACCTTCTGTTTGCAGGGTTTCGGCGACTGTTATCGCCCTCATGACGTTTGATAACATTTGTATTTTTGGGGTCATATCCAATTTTCAAGTGTATACTTTCTTTTGCCCGGCAGTATAAGTGGAATAGTGTTGACTGCCACGTGAAGCACCCTTCACTCACCTAAAGGCACAGAAAAGAAAGCTGGCAACATTGCACAGACAATCCTTCTTTAATGACACAGTTTATTTAATCTTTTTGGTTTGAGATACACCTGTCTCAAATGATAATACTCAAATGATAATACTCAAATGAAAACTAAAAGTAAAACTGTTTCTATAGCTCCAGAACGACAATCCCATTAATTAATTTTACTCGAGAGATATATTAGATTTACGACCAGTTTATATTACTTAAATCATGGGAACAGCATGGACATTCTGCAAGGCATGTTTGATAGTTATAAACACCAAATAGTCGCTGCTTGAAGATATACCCGCGCCTATGTCAAACTTCATGTGTTTATGATAATGGCAACAACCACTGCTATACTGAGTAATTGTAGTTGAAAGCCACGATCAGCAATATCTGCACTTACATCCAACCTAACATAGTCAAGCCTGGGGTGGGTAAACCAGTGGTTGATATTATGAGCATATATCAAGCTCGTCTACCCCCACTCGATGCCGAGTTGTTTTTGACGCACATTTTCATAAAATCTGAAAAGTGAACGTTGTGCTAGAATTGTGGTCGTGCGGCACCATATTGACCACTAACTATAAAATTACGATTGTGCTCTTACCCCCTATATTTGAAAAAAGGCCCACACGTTCAAGGCATTGGGACATTGTAACATTGTGCTGTATGGGCAAGTGTGGGTGTACATCTGGAATATTTGGAATCTTCATATAACGGGCCCCAAATTCCCACAGTGAACCCTGGATGTAGAATATTACGTTTCCTACCTGAGGGTGTAAACCTTATTACAAATATAGATTTGGTTTAAAAAACAGATACTGCAAAGCGTTTTCCGAAATTTTAATATGCCTACAGAAGAGCATATTTCGACACTATATTGACGGGACTCAATAGCAAAACCTCGATATCGTATCGAGTATGTAATTACAAGCTCACAAATTCATTTGTTATGTCGTTATGTGGTTCAGATGATCGCTTACAGTTTACACAAAGCTGTAAAAAAAGAAGAAATTCCTCGCACAGTCCATGGTACACAAATGAATTGGTGATCCTGTAATTACATACTCGATAGGAAATCGAATATTTACTGTTTAGTCCGGTCAATATAGTCACATCTTACCAAACCCAAGCGCAAATTGCAACAGAAATATATATATATATAAGTATATACTTACTTATATTTATATATATATTTTACCTTTCCTTGATAGTTTAAACAATTTCGATTTGTAAAACAAACTTTGACACTTTTCAGACCCACGTAAAATGACTGTTGTACAGTGTAATTAATGTCTTGACAAGTCGTGTATCGATCTTTATTGGGCAAGACGCGCGTGACCTGTTAGGCATCCATGTTACATAAATCAAGTGTTCAATAGAATATTTTAAAACAAACAAATTTCGGTTTAATATTGGACCTGTATTTGTTCATTATTATGTGTTTGTTTTTCGTCATTTCGTCTACGAATTATACAATGATTGATTATATACAATGAATGATAATACAATGTCACGATGTTGTTACCTATTTTTTACATTTCTTATGGAAATAAATTAAATAATTTAATATTCTCTTATTACAATTACTTAATAAAGGTGCAACATCTGATTATATAATACAATACGAGAACAGTCATATGTAAATAGTTTGTGACTAAACGCGCACCAGGTGAATCGTTCCACATCAATGTTCTGTCAATCAAACGACCAAAAACAGCTTTTTTTAAATCCTTCGACAAATGTGTTCAATTATACTGGGGGGCAAAAGAACGTATATACCGAAGTTGTTTTTTATACAACTGAAACTTGAAAGAACTGTTGTTAAATTTGATCATATCTATTTAACCATCAGTCATCCCTGCAACAGTTTGTAAAAAGTAATCTGTGGCTGGGTAATTTCGTGTTAAACTAAATGGATTCAATGAAGACTGGGGTAAGTAATGAATTTGCAACCACGTGACCCCTACCATGTTTGAAATGTTGTAAACCTATGCCGAATTTATTTCTTATTGATTTCCAAAGATAACACGTCTAAGATAACCACCAACAGTTGTTTATTATGCGAATGTTTTTGAATTTTTAAATGTTTCAGAACAGATTAATAAAAAACCCATATAAAACCATGTAAAAGTGTTCTTTTAGTGCTAAGAACCAGTACAATTCATTTTTATATATATATGTGAAATACGTACATGTTGCATTTAAATTCTCATTTCATCTTCTAAAATTTGTTTAAAGGTAGGAAATATTGTATGCGACTATTACGACAATTTGTCAGTTTCTTTTGTAAATAATGTTCACACAAACAAGAGATTATGAAAGGTTCATACTTTATGAAATGATGTTGAACATTGATAAATATCCAAAGCGTAATTCATTGCGCGAAACCACTTGTAAAAGATACGCAGTCTTCATCCTGACTGAATAGGTACGCATCAGGATAACTACGTTTATTCATCCGACCTTCACCTTAAAGAAATTTCCAAATATATGTATGTACAACAATGTTGAGGTATGACATCACTACCGCTGACGGACTTTCAGAAAATGGTGGGTTTACTGACAGCGCTACGTGGGATTTTCAGAGGAGGCCTGTCTTTAATTCAGGGATCGTATATGTTCATAAATCTGTCATGTAAGTAATCAGAAACAATCTGACAATCTGGTATTGTTGGTTGTTTTTATGTTTTCTGTTTAAACTAGGAGAATTAGATCTGGTCCGAAATGCAGATCGTTGTCGTGAGTGATTTGGCGTCATGGCGTCAAGCAGGACATGAACTTTGTCACTTTCTGTTGAATTTACCAAATTATTGTAATGTATGTAAAACTATATTTAATTCCCTAGTTCTTGCTGCGATACTCTCCCCAAAACATTGAGCCAATGTATGCAACGAAGAGACGGATGGCTCTGTCAAATTAGAAGAAAGGGATCACTGTTTGAAATCTGAATTTTTCTTTGTTTACATTTCCAACATGTAGGTTTTCGAGCACAGCGTTCGTTTTCACACTACAAAAAAAATGTGATTTCACCTAGGCAAATTGTGTTGGTGATAAGAAGGAACGCATCCAGGGATACATGTATCGCAGCTGAGTGGGAAACGTAAGTTGATACGTGACGTATTAGACGTCTCGGGGTCTCATAACCGGCGCGGTTCATGATCCAATATGGCGGAAAGTTCACTTTGGCGTTCGTCTTTGCGTATTTTCTGAAACAATCTAAATGATTCTTGGGTTATCGGCGACGTGTCAGAATGATGACTGGCGATTTCTTAAAAACAGAGACCCGTGATCAGCTCGTGCTAGCCTACATTTGTAATCAAATACTCTGAGTGAATATCCGATGTCTTCTCTCCACCCGCCCCCCGGTGTTTTGCAAACTGAAATAGCACAAAATGAGTCGTAACACCACTTTGAACAAAATTCCAGAAAAAACGCGTCAACGTCACCTTAACGTGGGATGGCAGTAATGCAGGCCTCAGCAGCTAACGTTTCCCACTTTGCTGAAACCCACAAGCACGGTTAAGATGTTGACCAAGCGAGAAACATAATCATGGCGAACTGGGATTCGAACTCACGGATCATAGGTTTCCGGCTCGCCGAGGGACGTTACTCTGCCCACCACCCCACCTTACGCTCCCCAATACAAAGCACATCACGCGTTATACATCATAAAACTTACCTTAATCTGGGCAGCATAGTCAACAGACTTTCATGTTCTCCCTGTGAGTGTCGTCTGCCCTATTATGACGTCATGGTTTTATGTTTAATCTATGACGTCATTTCTTTTATGATAGAAACGCCAAATGTTAATTGCAAAGGCCATTACAAAGAAATAAATTTTCTTCGTTCACTCCCAGAAAGTTCATAACAGTTAATTTTAAACTTCCTCACGTAGAGCGATTTATTTGTGTACCAGAAGGAAATTATTTCCGTTTTCGCGAGACAATGGTGTGACGTAATAGTAGCTTGCGACTGTCAATCAAAATGTCGGACGAGTCAGGGCTCGAGTGACAAGATGAAAGTTTACGTAAGAAAGAAGTGATAGTCGACAAGGTGAGAGATAAAAAAATGACAGTATGGATTATAAACATGTCTTACATAAACAGAGTTATTTTGTTATGAAATACGACTAAGCGGAATTAAGAACGCCCAATATATTCCATATAAGGCCTGTGTTCCCAGATAATGCATGTAAAATAGTCTTATTTTTCAAACACTAACAATAATTACTAATATTTAAGGTTAATTAATACAACTTTCGTTATAAGGATGTGATACTTTTGTGATCATTGACTAGTTATTATAACTTCCCTGGCCGATTTTGCCACTGTGGCACATATCTTTTTGGTCAAATAATGGCTAGCGAGAAGTGTCCAGGAAAACCAAAAGCTCCACCAAGGCTCCGAAGAAAGCAATGACTTAATATCTACCAGACAAAAGCCCTGGGTGTATACTTCGCCAAGCAGTTTAGTATCAGTAATATAGTTTTTTAGTTCAATCAGATTATGAGATTGTACCCCGCCAAGAGAACATGTTTTAGTTTATGAAAGCAGCACAAGTTTAAATTGTTTAAAACATGAGTAAACACAAATCTCAGGTCTCGTTTGTCAAAGTCCGTTGTGATTAAGCGGGAATATTGCTCCTCGCGGTGTAAAACAACATACACATTTTTGGATACGTTTGTAAATGTTTTAGTGCATGACGAGGATTTCGTAATGTCTGTACCTTCATGCATGATCGGTTCGCCTCCAGCAGCGATAGAAACTAACATGTTTAGTCCACCAGAGTGAGTGAGTTGGGTTTAACGCCGCTTTTAACAGTATTCCAGTTATATCACGGCGTGTAAGCTTAATGTGAGAGGAAAGCCTGACGCAGGTCTCAGACGTTTACCACTTCGGTGAAATCCTCGAGCACGGTATGGTGCTGACAAACCTAAAAACATAATCGGGGCGGACCGGGATTCGAACCAACAATCATAGGTTTCTGGCGTGCCCAAGGGACGCAACTCTGCACAGAGAACTGCGGCGCCTCAGACGACTGGGCCACCCTGTCACGTGTATTGTTTATATGTGTTTGTTCTGTGACGACGCACTCGGCAATATTCCAGCTGTATGATATCGGTCTGCAAATAATCAAATCTGGACCAGACAGTCCAGTGACTGACATCATGAGCATCGCTCCATGCACGCAAATGGGATACGATGACATGCATCAACCAAGTCAACGAGCCTGACCACTGGTTCCATTTAGCCGCCCCTTGCGTCAAACATGGGTTGCTGAGAATCTATTATAATTCGGATCTTAGGGGTACCAACGCACAATGACCGCGTCAAACAATTTCAAAACAAATACCAAACTTTAAAACACTACGACACTGAATCGGTTGAAATAGTTCTTTGGATTTTGCCCGACTTGAAACTGTTAACAAGAAATGGTAATTGATAGGTAATTTTGACATTATCAATTTCAGTTGTGAACAATACGCCGGTGTGTGAACGCTATTCACACTGGTTGAATATCCTGTAAGTCACACTACTTAGTGTTTACCACTTAGAAACTTAACTGTAACCTACCCACACTGGGGACCTATATTCCTACCCGAAAACCCGCGAATATTCAGCCAGCGACTGTTTACTTAACTCTTGACCCGTGAAGATCCGGAGTAGAATAGGTCTTCAGCAACCCATGCTTGCTGTAAAAGGCGACTATGCTTGTCGTAAGAGGCGACTAACGGGATCGGGTAGTCAGGCTCGCTGACGTGGTTGATGCATGTCATCGTATCCCAATTACGTGGATCGGTGCTCATGATGTCAGTCACTGGATTGTCTGGTCCAGACTCGATTATTTACAGACCGCCGTCATATAGCTGGAATATTGCTGTGTGCGGCGTTAAACCAAAAAACCAAAAAACCTCAACTCCACTAATAAGGGCAGAGCCTAAAGCCTAAGTGTGGGCACGGGTGGCTCAGTCGTCTAAGGCACCCTAATTCGCTGTACAGACTGTGGGTTCGAATTTCGATTATTTTTCTAGGTTTGTCAGCACCATACCCGTGTTTGTTGGTTTGTGGTAAACGTCTGAGACCTGCATCATTTGGGGCTTTCCCCAAAAATTAAGCTGACACGCCGTGATGGAATATTGTTCAAAGTGGGGTTAAACAAATCACTCACTCACTAAAGCCCAAATGATGCAAATCGTTAATATCTACTGCTCTCGACATGTTAGCAGACACCTCGCGAGACCCGTGAAGATCCGGGGTAGAGTAGGTCTTCAGCAACCCATGCTTGCCGTAAAAGGCGACTTTCTTGTCGTAAGAGGCGACTAACGGGATCGGGTGGTCAGGCCCGCTGACGTGGTTGATGCATGTCATCAATCCCAATTGCGTTGAACATATTCTTAAATATCCGGTATTAATAGATTCGTTCGGCTAAAAAATCAGAAACTGGAAACAGCGCTGATGCCACAGAAAGTGATTATTTGTTCTTCCGATCTCTTTCTACAAAGTAAGGTATTACCAAATTATCTAAATTGTTTTAAGTACAGCATTGATTGCTTTCAAAGACTATATGAGTGTACCACGAGATGAATAGTTCTCGGTTTATTTAATTTTTTTGTTGTGGTACATTTATCGAACTTAGAGTGTGTCTGAGTGAGTGAGTGAGTGAGTGAGTGAGTGAGTGTTTACGCCGTTCTTAGCAATATCCCAGCCGAAGACACCAGAAATGGGCTTCACACATTGTAGCCATGTGGGAATCGAACCCAGGTCTTCAGCGTGACGAGCGAACGCTTCAACCACAAGGCAACCCTACCGCCCCTATAGAACTAAACTTAGAAGTTAGTCGTTGGTTCTCACATATAGCTGTCATTTAATGGTTAAAAAATTATTAGGCGATTCCGACGAAATTATTGAATTTATTGTACACATATCTTTATTCATGATGCATATAGATTTCCGGGCCGTGTTCATGCACACATGGTCGTGGTCAGTCAGTATAAAATATATATATAAAAATATATCATCAGTCAACGTGGATGTTTTTGAAGCAATTTGCATATAAATATACATAGCCAGGTGTCGTTTCGTATCCGTTGATACCAAAAGCATAATGTATTTGTTACGTGTAGGGTATGATATAAATTTAGTAGATATGTACTTCAGTGTTTTATACCGGGCACAAACCATCATAATATAAATCAAATAAATTTATTGTGACTGTGGCGAGTTGATATAGCTGGAATATTACTGACTGTGGCGAGTTGATATAGTTGGAATATTACTGACTGTGGCGAGTTGATATAGTTGGAATATTACTGACTGTGGCGAGTTGATATAGCTGGAATATTACCGACTGTGGCGAGTTGATATAGTTGGAATATTACCGACTGTGGCGAGTTGATATAGTTGGAATATTACTGACCGTGGCGAGTTGATATAGTTGGAATATAACTGACTGTGGCGAGTTGATATACCTGGAATATTATTGACTGCGGCGTAAAACTACATCTACTCACTTAGTCACGTTTGTACATTTCAGATGTGGAACCACTCGATCCCCGAGCTGCGTCGCCCCCTCACCCCCGTCCTGGAACATCCGGAAGTCTCGTCACCCTCAGCAGGTGCTGCTCCCGAGGGACCATCTCAAAACAATAGCTGCAAATATATAAAACAACCCCATTAAACCTTCTGCGTCAACAAACACTCTCACAACGCACTCGGCACACCTGAATCCCGCCGGTCATCTCGGCCAGATGTAATCCATTTTGGATGTGGATACGCTAGTTTCACAACTCCACGTGTTCACGTTCACAATCTGCCTGCAGTCGTGACCCTTATCTAAATGTTGCTTGATATATAATTGTATATCTAATTTCTATAAACCTTGGTCTTTGGAAACATTAAAGTGAGGGGCCAGGGAATGCGCATGCGTCATGTACTCGAACCTCACTTTCAGAAACAAAATGGAAAAGCGCGATTCGTTGCTGTCATAATCTGTGAGAAAGAAATAATATAAGATAATTGAACACCCTTGGTGCTAAATAGGGACATCAGGTCCCTGGCGTATAGGGCGTTAAGTAATTTCCCATATGAATAACAATATCCACAAGTTGTGCTTGATGTTGAATGCAACATGGCTATTGGCACGCAGTAAAACGTAATGATTGTACGAGCGCTTCCAACAGTGCAGATTTCGCACACGTTTAAAATCATAAGTTTGAAGTTTATGCACCAACAGAGTCAAGCAGACATGTTCTTATGCATTTATCATGGCAAGAAAATAATAGTTATTTGGTGATATGGATTTTCAGTTTAATACGTTTTTTCCCCCTATCGGTGCACATAATCAAAAACTTGTCAAGATGGTCACGTGATCCGCAATAATTGATGACACATGAATATAGACCTACAGTAACCGTTGAGCAACGATCGTCCTGGGCCCCGTTGTACAAAGCTGTCTTAGCGCTAAGTACTCCCATACTATAACATAGGCCTACGACAGTTGTAGCGCTAAGACGGCTTTGTGCAACCGGGCCCAGAACGATACTTTATTCCAAATCAGTGTTTGTAGATAGTGTCCTGTTTGTACATTGCTTGTGTATATGTGTCTGAATGCATTTTTCAACAGACACGATGTGCACCTTTGACCCGGGCTATCGTCTTTCGTCGACTGACCCACAAGTCATCGAAGAGTTTGTGACGTCACCACATAGTGTTGATCAGGTGATCAAACCACTGACCAATGACTTGTCGGAGGAACAGATGCAGGATGTGTACGGTATGTCATTTGCATCTCGCAGGGCTCAAGGTAACTTTTTGAGCAATTGAGTTTTTACTCCAGGGTTTCTATTTTAATTGGGTTATTACATTTTTCATTGGGTTACCACTATTTTTTCACTCATCTATTCATAACTCTATAGGTTTTTTCCCAAAATAAGTGAACATTTTAAGATTTAAAAAAAAAAGGAAATAATTATTTAGATGTATATAACTGTTTTAAATATATAGGCTAACTCGGAAAGTAAATTAGCTCGTAATTGTGTTTCGGAAATTAGCTCCTTTGTACGCATGCTGAAAAAGCTTCATTGGGTATTAACGCGAGCTGTTTTTATACATTTGGGTTTTTCATTTAATGCATGCGTTCCAGATAATTAAAAGTAATTGGGTTTTGAATATGCTTTTATTTTATTTTATTTAAAAAAATTTTTTTTTGGTTTTTTTGGGGGGTATTTTACGCAAATACTCTGTTTAAAACGCTGTTACGCTGTTATTAAATAGCCCTGCAGTTCAGTTGTGTGAGTCATTCATGGCCCTGTGATAAACGTTGGTCATATTCGACATGTATGACGGTAATATGTCAATGTGCGATAATGTTTATATCATGTTCACATAATGTTCATATCGTGTTTATATCATATTTAGACCCGCGAAGATTCGGGGTAGAATAGGTCTTCAGGAACCCATGCTTGCCGTAAAAGGCGACAAAGCTTGTCGGAAGAAGGATTTACGGGATCGGGTGGTCAGACTCGCTGACTTGGTTGATGCATGTCATTGTATTCCAATTGCGTTGATTGATGCTCATGTTGTCAATCGTTGGATTGTCTGGTCCAGCCTCGATTATTTACAGACCGCCGTCATATAGCTGGAATATTGCTGATTCAGGCGTTAAACAACATACAAACAAACAAACAAATTATATCATGTTTGTATCATGTTTATATCATATGTTTATGTCCTGTTCATTTCATGTTTATATCATGTTTATATCGTGTTCGTATAATCTTCATATAATGTTCATATCATGTTTATATCATGTTCATTTGTTCATATCGGTTTATATCATGTTTATATCGTGTTTGTATCATGTTTATATGAACGAAGATATTTCCAACAAATGGGAAACCAACGAGCATGTGTTCTGATGATCAAAGAACATCATCGGGATGAATTATTCTAATCTGTGATTCGAATCCACAACCAGCGGATCCTGACACGCTTAGGGAGATAACTCTGCACGTCGTCATGATACAACTGCAGCTAAAACAACATTCACACGCTCACTCATTCAATACGTCGTTAGAAAAAGTGCTTTTTAAATGTATTATACCAGAAGATGTCATCGTAAGTACCTCACAGTTCCTTAAGCCATGAATTCTTGACGATGGAAAACGCGAACGAGTCTATTTGCTGTCGCTGTTTTCTAAGGTTGGGATGCTCGACTTCTTTATGTTCGTACCTTTCCACCAGAATACCTTAACTTAATTTTCACTCTAGATGTTTTGGCGTAGTTAGACATAAGGGGGAACTGGGAAGCCACAGTGCAGAGTTGCGTCCCTTGGGCACACTAGAGACCTATGATCGTGGGTTCGAATCCCGGTTCGCCCTGATTATGTTACTAATCAGGGTCGTCACCACTACCTGTGCTCGTGGGTTTCACCAATGTGGTATGTTTCTAACAAATGCATAAACTTAACGCTGTGATATAACTGGAAAACACTCACTTACTTTAGATATGAGGCATATACAAATGTGAAGTTTGCAGCTTGTGGTCAGCGCACAGCCCAACAAGAAGATCACTGTAGGATTGATTCGTATAAAGTTCTTTATATTCACCCAGTTGCTCTATTAACCACATGGAGGAACAATATTTGCATGCATTTACAATATGTTTTTGCGTTTATTTCAAATGTGTGAAATTCGGCTTTTGGTCTGGTGTTGTCTCATCGTGAAAGTAGAGCAGAGCACGACGTCAAGTCGGCAGCAACTTTCAAACATGTTTGTTTGTTTGTAGTTTAACGCCGCACTCAGCAATACCCCAGCTGTATGAAGGTGGTCTGTAAATAATCGAGTCTGGACCAGACTGTCCAGTGATTGACATCATGAGCATCGATCCACGCGATTGGGACACGATGACATGCATCAACCAAGTCAGTGAGCCTGACGACCCGATCCCGTTAGTCGCCTCTTACGGCAAGTCATGGATTGCTGAAGACCTATTCGATCCCGGATCTCCAGGGAATTGTCTTCGGCAACCTATGATTGTGGTAAGACGAGACGTAATTGATCGGAACATCAGGCTTGGTGACTAGTGACCAGTCAACGTACCCCGACGGTGTAGAACGTTGCTCATAATATCAATCACTGGTTTACAAGCCGATGTCAATAGCTGAATATTACTGAGTTAAACAACAATCACACCAGCAGGTTCACGTAAGCTTATTACACAGTATGGAGACTGGTGGGTAGGTGGAATTATTATCAGGTCGTTCATGACTGACTGACTGAGAGATTGAGATTGGGGTTCGAACCACGGACTAGTAACAAGTAGGGGGACACCTTGCAGACTGACCCATGAGCATACTGAGATCCTTTGCTGGATCACAACAGACCTTCACCCCGGGAAGCCAAGTTGTATTTCTAAGACGTTCACCCTTCACACAGCAAGTGAATTAGGTTTTACACCGCTTGTAATAATGTCATGGCTTGGGAAACCAGAATAATCACCTCTTACAAAAAACATGGATTGCGGAAGATCAATATTAAACCCAGATCTTCACGGGTCTCTGGGTACAAATATGTCTCCAGCAACCTAAGCCTATGTTACTGGTGATCAGGCTTAGTGACTAGTGCGTGTCAGCGCACCTTGACGGTGTAGAACGTTGCTCATAATATCAATCACTGGTTTACAAGCCGATGTCAATAGCTGGAATATTACTGAGCAAAACAACAATCAAACTAGCAAGTTCACGTAAGCTTATTACACAGTATGGAGACTGATGGGTAGGTGGAATTATCATCATCAGGTCGTTCATGAGTGAGTGAGTGACTCAGTGACTCAGTTGCTGAAGACCTATTCTACCCCGGATGTTCATGGATCAACCATGTGTGTTACAGGTTGCCCCGGTGACCGCGGTGGAACAGCCGTGCTGGACAGGACGTGGCACGTGTACAACACGGCATGCCGGGTAATAGACGCCCTGGAGAAGCAGCTCGTCCTCATCAAGAAGTAAGTCGATGACATGTAGTCTGAATCCAGAAACCGAGGGTACACAATCTCAGTCATTAGTCACCACTTGCCCTTTTCGAAACCTGCAGACGCTATTCGGCTTGTCCGTGTCAGGCTTTCCTGGTCAAGGGTTCGAACCCCAGATTATGGTCCTTGGTTGCCAGCATTGTACTTGTAAGCCGAGGAACTGTGATGACGCAGAAATAACGTTCAAAGCGGCATTTAACCCAACTCACTCACTCACTCATGCCCTTTGAGGAGACAGATACATTGAATGTCGTGAAGGTTCGTTCGTTCGTTCGTTCGTTCGTGCGTTGTTTAACGCTGCACTCAGTAGTAATCCAGCTATATGACGGCGGTTTGTAAATAATTTAGACTGGACCAGACAATCCAGTTATTGACATCGTGAGCAATTTGGATACAATGACATGCATCAACCAAGTCAGCGAGTCGTGAAAGTCAACTTATGAGGTTCTTGGAGTGAGCGAGTTGTATTTTACGCCGCTTTTAGTAATATGCCAGCAATATCACGGCGGGGGACATCAGAAATTGGCTTCATACATTGTACCCATGTGAGGAATTGAACCCGGGTCTTCGGCGTGACGAGCCTAAGCTTTAACTACTAGGCTCCCCCACCGCCCCTGTCCCGGAATGACACTAGTGGCGACTAAGTGGACAGAAAGACGCGAGTGGTAAGTGAGTGGTTCCAGAAACTTCCAAAAGACGCCTTTTGGATGGCCAAGGAGTAGCATTCGTGACCAACTCGTGTTATTCCGGGACAAGCCGAACAGCGACTATTGCCCCTCATGGCCATTTTTGCGACCGGGTTCCGTCTTAGCGCAAACGGGCATACCTAAAACAATTGTCAACTCGTTGCGTAATTGTTCACATATATTTCCCCATATATTATATATATTTCAGATGCATTTTAAGGCACATCTGGACATGCTGAATAATACAGTATGATTGAACACATTTAAACGTGTCTTGGGTATATTTTTAGATGCAAGACATATGTAAAATCAAAAATTATTCCTGAGGGATTCTCTGACGAGGAACTTGAAATCATACGCGCATTCTGATTGGTTTGTCGTATTTTCGCATAAACCCTTCATCGATAGGGGGACGAGTCTTCTTGCAGGTTACGGAAAGGGGCGAGTGGTGACGAATGACGGAGTATTGCACATAGATTACGGAAAGACGCGAGTGGTGCCGAATGCACAACTCAATCATACACACACATGCAATAATCCTGAACGGAACGTTACACCCCTTTTCACCCCCCCTCCCCTCACCTCACCTTATGAACTATTGACAATGACAGTACTCTATGTCATCCACTCATTTCAACCTTTACTCCAGAAAACTGAAGAAGGTTTCAAACGAGTACTCCGTCAACCACGAGCGAGCGACGTCAGCCATGAGTCGGCATCGTATGGTGAAAGGGTTGCGCGAGGTAGCAGACGACAAGGCCACGTTATGGCGGGAACAGTGCCGGAACTTCGAGCTGGGATACTCCCAGGAGAGGCCGGAGTTTGAGCAGATGAAGAACATCCACAGCATCCTCAAAGCAAGCATGGAGGAACTCGTCGAAAGGAACAAGTACCTGGTGTCCTTTGTGAAGCTGATCAAACGAAGGAGTTTGAAGCAGTATGAGGAGAAGTACCGCAACCAAGTGGGTGCGAACCACTCAGGCACGGAGAGCCTCATGTTACGGCAGCAGTTTGAGGAAGCTATCCGGAATCAGCTGGAATTGAGGAACATGGGAAATCCTGCGTTGAGGAAAGGGTTGGACTTCCAGGATCAGATGAAAAGGTTTGGGCGGAGCTTGCCCCGTCCGCCGTTCGCTCCTCTGAACGTGTTCAAGCTGAACGCCCTGGCTCCTTATCTTGGACGGTCGTGTGTCGGGTATGGTGGCGGCAAGGTGTACACGCTCAAAGTGGACATCAACAAGCACACGCTGAAGGATGAAGAGACGTTCGGTCGAACTACACCTGAGACGAAGGATCACTGGATTCTGTCTGGAAAGAATTGTCTTCATGACCCGGAGAATGTCCTTTTCGGCGATTGCGTCTTAAGTCAAAGCGAGATGTTTGGATATTCCAAACTCCCCTCAATTCGGTGCGAGGCGGAAGGGAGGCAGATGGGTGAGGGGCGGACGGGACATATTTCGGCACCTAGGACAAGCATTGTAAAACATGAGGCCACCAAGAAGAGACATAGTTCAAAGGTCAAGAGAAGTTCAAAGTGCATGAAACCTTTAAAAACAGCCACCCATGGTAATCAAAAGAAACCAAAGTCAAAGCCATACTCTGGAAAAAAGTCGCATTTCAGGGTTTCTCTCAACAACTGGGGCCATCAGGACGAGGTTGACGCGGAAAGCGTCACAAAAGGGGAGTTCCTCACACACGGCCAACCAGTGCGTCACGCCGAGTAAAGTAAGTGTTCATCCTATTCCTCCCCTAACCGCGATACATTTATTTCATATAGATTTGTATACTATGTTCAAATCAAAATGTAGATATGTTAGGCTAAGTAAGGATAAAACAGTAAGAACATTTTTGTGCTATTCCTAAAGCATCCATACGTGGCCTAGTAGTCGGCGTCTAAACGTCGTGTGCTGAGTTGCGTCCCTTGTCTGTCAGGCTCTCCTGGTCATGGGTTCGAACCCCAGATTATGATCCTTGGTTGTCCCTCCGTACAGAAATAACGCTGAAATAACGTTCAAAGCGGCATTAAACCCAACTCACCCACCCACTCATGCCCTTTGAGGAAACCAGCTACATTGATTGTCGTGAAGGTCAACTGAAGTGACTCTGTGTTTACAAAATGTTGATCCACCTACTACCTTTACCCAGCTGGAGTGAGCGTGTTGTATTTTACGCCGTTCTTAGCAATATTCCAGCAATATCATGGCGGGTGACACCAGAAATGGGCTTCACATATTTGTGGGGAATCGAACCAAGGTCTTTAGCGTGACGAGCAAACGCTTTAACCACTAGGCTACCCCATCGCCCCCTAGCTGGACATTCCTAGACTGTAGACTGTTGCTCAAGCTGTAGTGGTGAGGGGCGACTAACGTGATCGGGTGGTCAGGCTCGCTGACTTGGTTTAAAGCATGTCATCGATCCCAATTGCGTGGATCGATTCTCATGATATCAATCACTGATTGTCTGTTCCAGACTCGATTATTTACAGACCGCCGTCATATAGCTGGAATATTGCTGCGTGCGGCGTAAAACAACAAACCAATGTCAACCACTTGCTTGTCTGGTCCGTGTTTCGTTTGTGTGTTATTCAACACAAGAGCCAGCAGTATTTCATGTATAGGCGGCAGTCGGTAGATAATAGAATCTGGACCAGACAAGCCAGTGATTGATTGACACGATGGATACGATGACATGCATCAACCGAGTCAGCAGACTGACCACCCGATCCCGTAAGTCGCCTCTTACGGAGTGAGTGAGTGAGTATGATTTTACGCCGCCTTAAGCAATATTCCAGCAATATCACGGCAGGGGGACACCAGAAATGGGCTTCACACATTGTACCCATGTCGGGAATCGAACCCGGGTCTTCGGAGTGACGAGCGAACGCTTTAACCACTAGGCTACCCGACCGCCCCCGTCGCCTCTTACGACAAGCATAGGTACCTGGCGACCAATTCTAACCCGGATCATCACGTGGGGAGACACGCATGATGTGCTTAAGACCAGTTCTGTCCCTGGTCTTCACGGGGGTTCATGATGGATTAGTTACAGGAAGTCATGCTGCATCCGGGACCTTCATTGCAGCGTAAAACAACATTCAATCACTATGTGATCCATACGTTAGGTTGTATACCGTGTGTAGGGCGTGCCGGAAAGTTATAAATGTAGGTTCGAAACCCGGTTAGATCACATTATGTTTCTAGGTTTGCTGGTTGGTTTCACCAAAGTAAACGTCCAAGACCTGCCTATTGCTGGAATATTGCTAAAAGCGGCGTAAAACCATGCTCACTCACTGTTGTTCATTTCAGACACTTCAAGCGTACGGACTGCTGTCAAAGAAGGTTGAAGACCTGACAGTCTGGATCAGTAATAATAAATGGATTTGAAACTTCATCCTGTGTTTAGCTTTCAATTCAGTATCTCATTAAAATCAGATCTTAGTTCTCGCTACGGCTAAACAAAGATCTGAGGACATCCCATTACGGGTCAGGTCAGAAGGACCTTTCATCCAACCAATCAGAGCGTCGCTTACCAGATCATGAAAGTGACAGTCGGAATGTGTTTTCTAAATCATGCAACCTCGAAAATGTTTAACAGAGGGTATTCCGAACGACAGTTACGTGTTTTAAGATTATATCCATACAATCTAGGCCATCTATAAGCCATTCCAGAATGTCCTTGTTAGCAGTTTTACATTTTTTAATCGAGAATACGTCGAAATATGTTTCGAAGCGTAGTCGCCAGTTTGAACTAGTTTCGTGAAGTTTGAGAAAGCTGCCTTCTGATTGGCTAATGTCGATATCTTGTCATTTCATTAGTTGGTCAAAGTTCGCGAAAGGTCGTTCTGACGTAACCCGTAATGGGATGTCCTCAGATCTGATTTTAATGAGATTGGAATTTAATGTAATAAGACTCAATGTCGGCGATGAATTGAAACCCCAACATTGAATTCTTTTACCACAGGAATCCAAAGTTGTGAACGAAACATATTTTTTTGGTTTTATCATCAAACACCACTCTGGACGTGTATGTGTCTTTGCTAAAGTCACATTCTTACTGTAAAGGAATTGGACTGTAAATTTGATTCCCGATTTGAAAGATTTTTTCATTGAAAGACGACACTGACAGGGAGGTTTGTGTCCTTGCACTTCCCACCTCATTTTTCTATACATAGAGATGGTTGTTTGAAGTAAAACAAAGCAAACAATTTCGTTACAATCAGAACACGGATCCATCTTACTGATACAGCACTGCAGCTCACCAATGGTGCTGAGTTTGTTTGTTGTTTAACCCCGCCGTCAGAAATATTCCAGCTATATGACGACGGTCTGTAAATAATCGAATCTGGACCAGACAATCCAGCGATTGACATCATGAGCATCGTTCTACGCAAATGGGATACGATGACATGTACCGACCAAGTGTTTGGCCATCTTGTCTGTCAGGATGGTCAGCTTGTGACGAGAGTTAGCAGCTTTGGCCATGTAGACAAGGCGCTCGACCTCGCATCAGAAGGTCCATGGTTCGAATTACACCAAACGACTCGGAAATATTATAGTCGCTTCATTTAGTATCACTTTATAATGGCGGAAGGGTGGTGGATGGGTGACTGTTCGTCAAACTTGACTCCAGGGAGCTTCTAAGGCTTCGGTCACATGTGTCACAAGTGTCTCCCTAGGTATGTGACTTTTGTTCGAATATGCATCTGTTCAACTAGCAGTAAATGGGTACCCGGTAGGATGAGGTGGTGAAATGACTGAATATTTTCTAGGGTCTCCTGAGGCAGCTTGCACACGTCCCAGGGAGCTGAGAATGAAATCAGGGTGCATCCTGATCCATTGACCGGGATGATGGAACGCTGAATCATAAATCGACTTGCTATCATCATTGTTATTGTAGCTTACTTTTGAGCAGCAAACTATTTGATGGGTCATGGGGAAATGATGCCTAAACATTTACTTTCAATATAATTACTGTTTTTAGTTTTGATTTAATGGACGAATAATTGTATTCTGAATGAGATGCATGTTGAAATATTGCAATAATAAAATCGGAGTCTTAGAATTGTCAGGCTATTCCTAAGGGTGAGTATGAGCCGAAGGTTACCAGACAGACGACGGAGGCCATAAGAAGACGCTTTCCCAGTAACATTTCACAACAAAGTTCCCTCATAGCATAACTTTAATGTCAAACTTGAAAGACTGGATAAAGTAATAGTGATGCACTTGATACAATAAAAAAAAAAATATAACCCATATATATGTCATCTATCATTCGTGACGATCCGTGTCATTCCGAAACTAATCGAAAGAGATCATTCGTGACGGTCCGTGCTATTCCGGAACTACCCGAAGGAATTGCACTGAGGGAAAGAGGCGAACAATGACGAATGGTTGGCGGGTGGATAGCTTCAGCATCAAGAGAAACAAAGTAAAATCAAAAGACAAGTTTCGTGTGAGTACTCCAATACAAAGGCGCTTTTAACAGCTGGATTTTTATCTTAATTTAGTTTCGTCTTCTTTTCTGCGGGTGTACTAACATCTGACTGCTGCTGTCTCAAGTCGTCATCAAATAACCCACGTGATGTGGTCACATGGTAGGCGTGGCGTGGAGATGGTCGCTAACCACCGTACAGAAGACCTACGAAGAGAGCAAACTCAACAATAAATGCCGGGCAAAAGAAAATATACGATTGAAAACTGGATTTGACCAAAATATTACAAAAGTTATCAAAACAGTCCCAGAAACACTACAATCTTAAGTTTCAAAACACACTTCGATACCCGTATTAAATATCATTTTCATTTTAGCCACCATCAAACATGGACGTATACTTTCTTTTGCCCGTCAGTGTACACTATACGTTTCAGCGTGCACCGTAGGGCTTAACAGAGAAAATACCGCAACATCCAATTGCACTGCATAATGTCTGATATATGATAAAATTACGCCAGCAGCGGTTTCAAGAAGCAACTTATTTAATTTTTCGGAGCCGTTGCGCAAAGATATTGAGGGACAGGAGCTCAGTCGAGTATTCCTTTAGCCTCTCATTTTGTGTCGAGAACAATGATGTTATCATTACATGCGCCAATAGCTATACGCTTACACGTGTTTGTTTGTTTAACGCCTCACTCAGCAATATTCCAGGTATGTGACGGCGGTCTGTACCAGACAACCCAGTGATTAACGTCATGAGCATCGATCTAGGCAACTGGCTTACGACATGCATCAACCAGGTCAGCGCGACTGACTACCCGAACCGGTTAGTCGCCTCTTACGACAAGCATTGGTTGTGAAGACCAATTCTAACCCGGATCTTCCAGGTGGCTTAGACCCGTGAAGATCCGGGGTAGAATAGGTCTTCAGCAACCCATGCTTGTCGTAAGAGGCGACTACGGGATCGGGTGGTCAGGTTCTTTGACTTGGTTGATGCATGTCCATATATCCAAATTGCGTGGATCGATGCTCACGATGTCAACCACTGGGTTGTCTGGTCCTGACTCGATTATTTACAGACCACCATCATATAGCTGTACTATTGCTTTCGGCGGCGTTAAAAAACAAACAAGCAGGTGGCTTACAAATGTCGTATGTATACAAGAGACCCCCATGGAGATTTCGAGCAACCCATGCCGGTCGAAAGAGGATCGGGTGGTCAGGCTCGGTGACTCGGTAGATAGCATGTCATCGTACTCCGAGAGTGTGGATCGTTGCTCGCAAACCTGATCACTGGATTGTGTGGTCCAGAGTCGATTATTTACAGGCCTTTGTCATAAAGCTGAAATATTGCTGAGTGTGGCGACAAACAACAAACAAACAGACAATATACAGGACCCAGTCCCCCTTTCGTAATCTCTCACCTGCCATGCACGCCGTCATGAAGCTCGCGACATTGCCCGCGATCATAGCTCTGAACACCACTCGAGAGAGATCCGCTTTTCGTTTAGGTATGATGGCAACCAGAGCTCCTAGCATGATCCCCATGGCGCTGGCGTTGGAGAAGCCGCACAGAGCGTACGTGGCGATCACAGTCGACCGATCCTGTGAAGGAGATAAAGACCACATAGCGTAAATTCCTGCAGGTGTATGCGGAGTGCCACCAGTTCTGAAACCTGTTTTGTGGGTTCAGTATCATCCTCCCTGATCCCAAATATTACATCTCGATTCTACTGTGATAAATACCCCGGACACATTCGTCGCCATAGCTTCCAAGTCCCATTCAAATGTCGTGACGCTAAAAATAGCCGTCCAATCAAATTACTCACATCAGCGAGTGAAAATCTGTGCCACGTTACTCATAAGAGAAATGAAATGGAGAGATATTTAACTCTTGCGAGATATTTATCACTGTATGATAGAGAAAAGGTCAAGTTTGTGAAGATTGATTCACGAGAACTGAAGAAATTAACTCACACTATCATAACATTGTTCCAAATATTTACTTTGAAATTCGAGATATTTGCTGCTGTATTCAATTATTTCAAGATGTATGAGGGATCTTTTTCTGATTCTTTCATTTGATTGCTCCAATACACCATGTAACTACAATTTATGTATACTGACATGGTCTTATTAAAATCTGTGCAGACTTGCGTCCCTTGGGCACGCCAGGAACCTATGTTTCTAGTTTTATCCGCACCGAACCCGTGCTCGTTTCACCAAAGTGGTAAACGTTTGAGACCTGCATCACTTTCCTCCCACATTAAGATGACACGCCGTGGTATAACTGGAACACTGTTCAAAGCGGCGTTAAACCCAACTCACTCACTCATTCACCTTCCAGATTCAGAAAACATATGACCTCTAGCTTGGCACTCGAGCCAGGACGGGTCTATTCCACAGTGCACGAAGCAGGTCCCTTTTACACACTTGCGTGTACTTTCGCGTATTATGGATTGAACGCGTCCATTCAGGCGCAAAACATGCAAACCCAAGCATACAAAATTTGCTGAGGGGACATTCCAGTGTACAGAACAACAGTCACCGTGATGATCCCGCCCGTCAGAAGCTGCTGTGTGTCGTGGAGGATGATGTCATTGCCGTCGTAACCCCAGTGGCTTAAATAGCCAGTTTCCATGGTGACGTTGCGGGCGTCCAGATAGGTGACCAAGTCGTTCCTGTTGAGGATGTAGTTAGAGAGGTCGGCATAGGCGGCGAACTCGTTGATGATCATCTTGGTACCGATGAGCTCTGCCACCCTGCCGCAGTCCTGGGAACTGACCCCCATCATGAAGGCGACCGGCCAGAAGATGTACGAGTAGACCAGCTGTAAACACACGCGACATTGATTATAAGTCTCCCTTACACATCCTAGAGGTCGGGTAGCCCAGTGCGTAAGTGTTCGCTAGTCACGCCGAAGGCCCGGGTTCGACTCCCCACATGGGTACACTGATAGAGCCCGTTTCTGGTGTCCGCCTTTTCACGACAAGGGACATCAGAAATTGGCTTCACACTTTGGACCCGTGCGGGGAATCGAACCCGGACCTTCTGCGTGACGAGCGAACATTTTAATCTCAAGGCTACCCCACCTCTACCGACACGCCAAAGCCTTTACCTCCAGGCCACCCAAAGCTTCTCGTCCTTTTATAAAGCCATATTAAATAAAATATTTGCACAAAGGAATTCCTTACCTTTTTCAAACTTCATAGATCGTAAGATGTTGTCATTTCACAAAGAAAATGTTTACAGAAAATAATCCTCCGTATTATAACTTCGGGGGCTAACTCCGCAGAACAAATGATCAATTAACACCGAACAACCAGGGATAACTCAGGCACGGCAAAAATCTCCATGACTAACTTGAACTAAACATGCTTTACTGTATGTTGGTGTCACACAGGAAAAAATCGCTCTGACATTAACTACATACAGAGGATCTCACCAGTTTAGTTTTTGATATCAAACAAATCAAGACGAGTAGATACAAGTTTAAAAACCTATGAGGCTTGCCAAGGAGTTTTTTTCATATCGATTCGTTTTGAAATATTTGATATCAAAAGACTGAGAGTGAGATTCTATTTATCATCTATAATTCTTCTTCGAACTTTTTCAGTTTGTAAACAGTAAAAGCCAGCGTAGTGAGTGTAAATGATACAACTGACCAGCTACAAAAGCAGCGATAAGTGATGTCATTTGATTATGACGTCATCATAACGATTACAACACAATTGTCCGCAAAGCATTGTGATTCAATTTCATTTTTACGGTATGATGTCATTTAATTGTGACATTCACCCCCGTTATGATACTTGGTGGGTCCGCACTGTACCTGTGCACGTGGGTTTCTCCTCATGTGCTAAATGTCAACGACTTGTACACAAGATGGTTCAACATGATGTAACAAAAGGAAAGTCGGTTAACCCCGACTCACCCACTCACCCACTCACTCACTCACTCACTCACTCACTCACTTGGAAGGTGAGCTCGGGGTACTCCGGGGGGATGAGCCCCACCCTGTACCCCAGGAACGTGAAGGCGGCGTTCATGAACATCAGCAGCGAAACAAAGGCGATCAGGTGAGCTATGATGTTGGCCACAATCTTGATAGCTTCAATCGCGCCATTAGATGCAGCCTCGATAGTGTTGGTAGCTCGTCTGGAATAAAACATAGTGAACGTCCTGGCTGTGCACTACTTCTAAATACATTCGGAAACGAACGAAGTACTTTATCCCACACGGGACACTGTGCTTTGAGAATGGATTTTTTTTACACAATTTGGCAAAAACATTGCCACTTTTTTACGGTCTACAGTAAGTTGAATCACCGATGACACAGAGTTGTCAGAACTGCTTTATATATCTAAAGTGTTGTTGTTATATAAATGTCAAGAGTCTATTTTACTCCTGTCCATGATATATGATTGAAACATGAATTATATGTCCACCTGCATTGAAACATTGATACGTATTTCTACCCGCATTGAATCACGGATACGTATTTCTACCCGCTTTGAAACAGAAACACATTTCTTCCCTCACTGAAACACGGGTATATATGTCTACCTGTATTACATCAGGTATACCTTCCCGTATTATAACAGCATATAACTACCCGTAACACAAAGCATAACTGACCGTAGTACAACATATATCTATCCGTATTAAAACACATATCTACCTAGTATTACAACATACATCTACCCGTATTACAACATATATCTACCCGTATTACAACACATATCTACCCGTATAACAACATATATCTACCCGTATAACAACATATATCTACTCGTATTACAACATATATCTACCCGTATTACAACACATATCTACCCGTATAACAACATATACCTATTCGTATTACAACACATATCTACCCGTATTACAACACATATCTACCCGTATTACAACACATATCTACCCGTATTATAATACATATCTACCCGTATTATAACAAATGTCTACCCGTATTACAACACATATCTACCCGTATTATAACACATATCTACCCGTATAACAACACATATCTACCAGTATTTAACATATAAGCACCCGTGTATGTGTTTCTAGTCGGCTTCACCTACTTTTTGACCTTGTAGATGTGTTCGTCAGAGCTGGCGGTCGTCTCCTCTGTTTCCGGGTAGAAGAGTTTCGATATGCCGATAGCAGCGGGTGCTGACATCACTGACGCCGACAACAGATGCAGCACCGGCACCTGCAACATGCACCACGACGTGTCTGATTGGGCACATCATCATCTGCGGCAACGCAGAGTGGCTAACTCCATGTCACCTTTAACTACAGTTCGCTAAACGTGATTGGCTATTCACACACACAATAACGCAAGTTAACATTAAACAGGGATCAGAAAGTTGAAATAAATAAATGTGCTCTCTGACACTCATTCATGGGGACGGTTGTTCACGTGTACCATTTTAATTGCAAAGCTAACCTTATAGAGAGCAAATGCCGCCATGATGGGCCCTGCCACTGTAGCGAATCCACTCGTCATCACTGTGTGGAGCTGTGAGCGGGTCATGGTCTCCAGGTAGGGGCCTGCAAGCAGCGGTGCTTCAGTCTAAACCAGACAAACAAAATGTCGGCCTGATCAAGGGTTAATATCGAGAACGATACTGAAAATTTAATTCACCGTATGACATAACTGCATTGTTTTTACTGTCACTACATATATAAAGAAATGCCTTTTTTTTTATCTAAGCGAAAAATAACAACTCTTCAAAGACCAGACAGTCGTAACCCATGAAGGCAACGCATAAACACATCAACGAGGAAGGCTAACACGATGCTGTAATAGAATTGTTATTTAACGCCGCACTCAGCAATATTCCAGAAATACGACGGCGGTCTACAGACCGATAATCGAGTCTGGACCAGACAATCCTGTGATGGATATCCTGAGCATCGATCCACACAATTGGGTTGGTTGGTTTGTTGGTTGGCTGTTAAATGCCGCACTCTAATCATGCAACCTCGAAAACTTTAACACGGAGTATTCCGAACGATAGTTACGGGCCTAACGACTGAATCCATACAATCTAGACCATCTATTAGCCATTCCAGAATGTTCTTTTGTTCAGGTTTCAAATTTTTAATCGAGAATTTGAAAAACTACGTTTGGAAGCATAGGCGCCAATTTGAAATTAGTGCCGAAAAGCACAAGAAAGCTGCCTTCTGATTGGTTAATGTCGAATTCGTGTCAGTCATTCCATTGGTCGGTCAAAGTTCGCGAAAGGTTGGTCTGACGTGACCCATAATGTGATGTCCTCGGAACTAAGATCTGATTTTAATGAGATTACACCAATCATGTTGAAAAGTAATTCTAACTCAATTACTGATGTGACCTGATGTGCTTAATGCGTGTTTGCAACTGCTTGGTCAAGGGTCCGCCGACCCTACGTGTACGTTACCGACCTGCCCCAAGAAGATGTTCCCCACAGCCACGATGTTCTCTGCAGGGGTGGTGTCCATGATGAGGGTGAAGACGCGGCCGATGTGTTTGATGACGAACTGCATGACCCCCCAGTAGTACAGGATGGACACCACTGTGCTGAAGAAGATCACCACGGGCAGCACCTGCAGGGACAACCAAGGTGAGGCCGTTATAGCATGTTAATTGTGTGTTCCTCATATCATGTTGTGTGTTCCTCATCATATCATGTTGTGTGTTCCTCATATCATGTTGTGTGTTCCTCATCATATGTTGCGTGTTCCTCATCATATCATGTTGTGTGTTCCTCATCATATCATGTTGTGTTACTCATCATATCATGTTGTGTGTTCCTCATCATATCATGTTGTGTTACTCATCATATCATGTTGTGTGTTCCTCATCATATCATGTTGTGTTACTCATCATATCATGTTGTGTGTTCCTCATCATATCATGTTGTGTTACTCATCATATCTTGTTGTGTGTTCCTCATCATATCATGTTGTGTTACTCATCATATCATGTTGTTTGTTCCTCATATCATGTTGTTTGTTCCTCATATCATGTGTGTTCCTCATCCTATCATGTTTTGTGTTCCTCATCATATCATGTTGTGTTACTCATCATATCATGTTGTGTTCCTCATCATATCATGTTGTGTGTTCCTCATCATATCATGTTGCATGTTCCTCATCATATCATGTTGTGTGTTCCTCATCATATGTTGTGTTCCTCATCATATCATGTTGTGTGTTCCTCATCATATCATGTTGCATGTTCCTCATCATATCATGTTGCATGTTCCTCATCATATCATGTTTTGTGTTCCTCATCATATCATGTTGTGTTACTCATCATATCATGTTGTGTTCCTCATCATATCATGTTGTGTGTTCCTCATCATATCATGTTGCATGTTCCTCATCATATCATGTTGTGTGTTCCTCATCATATGTTGTGTTCCTCATCATATCATGTTGCATGTTCCTCATCATATCATGTTGCGTGTTCCTCATCATATCATGTTGTGTGTTCCTCATCATATGTTGTGTTCCTCATCATATCATGTTGTGTGTTCCTCATCATATCATGTTGCGTGTTCTTCATCATATGTTGTGTTCCTCATCATGTCATGTTGTGTGTTCCTCATCATATCATGTTGTGTGTTCCTCATCATATGTTGTGTTCCTCATCATGTCATGTTGTGTGTTCCTCATCATATCATGTTGTGTGTTCTTCATCATATGTTGTGTGTTCCTCATCATATCATGTTGCATGTTCCTCATCATATCATGTTGCATGTTCCTCATCATATCATGTTGTGTGTTCCTCATCATATGTTGTGTTCCTCATCATGTCATGTTGTGTGTTCCTCATCATATCATGTTGTGTGTTCTTCATCATATCATGTTGTGTGTTCCTCATATCATGTTGTGTGTTCCTCATCATATCATGTTGTGTGTTCATCATCATATCATGTTGCGTGTTCCTCATCATATCATGTTGTGTGTTCCTCATATCATGTTGTGTGTTCTTCATCATATGTTGTGTGTTCCTCATCATATCATGTTGTGTGTTCCTCATCATATGTTGTGTGTTCCTCATATCATGTTGTGTGTTCCTCATCATATCATGTTGTGTGTTCATCATCATATCATGTTGCGTGTTCCTCATCATATCATGTTGTGTGTTCCTCATCATACCATGTTGCGTGTTCCTCATCATATCATGTTGCGTGTTCCTCATCATATGTTGCGTGTTCCTCATCCCCCTGCCTGTGACAGGCAATCGTGACAGAGACGCGAGAGATGCGAGGTAGCTAAGTGGTTAAAGTGTTCGCTCGTCACGCCGAAGGTTCGGGTTCGAATCCCAACATATGTACTGTGTGTTGAGCCTATTGTGGTTTCCCAAGCCATGACATTGTTACAAGCGGTGTAACTTGGCTTCCCGGACTGAAGGTCTGTTGTGATCCAGCAAGGGATCTCAGTATGCCGGTGGGTCAGTCTGCAAGGTGTCCCCCTACTTGTCACTAGTCCGTGGTTCGAACCCCAGGACAGGCCCTTGCACTTACCGGACATCCATACTTCGTCTCACTTAACTGAGACCCCTTGTTGTGGATTTCAGACCAGCTGTAAATGTCATCATTCAGTCAGTCAGTCAGTCAGTCACTCACTCACTCAGTCACTCACTCACTCATGAACGACCTGATGATAATAATTCCACCTACCCACCAGTCTCCATACTGTGTAATAAGCTAACGTGAACTAGTTTGATTGTTGTTTAACTCAGTAATATTCCAGCTATTGACATCGGCTTGTAAACCAGTGATTGATATTATGAGCAACGTTCTACACCGTCGGGGTGCGCTGACACGCACTAGTCACTAAGCCTGATCACCAGTTACATAGGCATAGGTTGCTGGAGACATTTTGTACCCAAAGACCCGTGAAGATCCGGGTTTAATATTGATCTTCCGCAATGCTTTTTGTAAGAGGTGACCATGCTTGTCGTAAGAGGTGACTATTGGGATCAGTTGGACAGGCTCGCTGACTTCGTTGATGTCATCGTTACCCAATTGTGTAGATAGATGCTCATGATGTCAGTCACTGGATTGTCTGGTCCAGATTATTTACAGACCGCCGTCATATAGTTGGAATATTGCTGAGTGCAGTTAAACAACAAACAAACAGACAAACAAACCAATCTTACCCAGAATGCCCCAAAGACTTGTCCCTACTCAGTTGGTGTAGTCGTACCTTGAAGGCGAAGAAGTGGTCGGCATAATTGGGTCCGAACACGAACTTGGCACCGTCGTCGGCATACGCCATGAATTCGGTGATTCTTTCCCCCAGATACAGGAAGGTCATGGCACCGGTTTCACTTCTCATCAAGATGAGGGCGAAGATGAACTGCATGGACAGACCGGTGACCACTGGACGCCAGAGTACCTGTGGATGAACATTCAATACATGTTGGAGCCGTGTACATCAATGTACACTGCTTATCATGTCACACACAACAGTACACTACAACACATTTTAACAGAAGGCAGACCTCAATGTATACGCACCCGCGTACAAAACACATCACACTAAGTCACTAAATAACATCCACACTTCCTTACATCCACAATTCGTTCACCCACACTTTGTGACAACCACACTTCGTTACATCCACACTTTGTGACATCCACACTTCGTTACATCCACACTTTGTAACATCCACACTTCGTTACATCCAAACTTCGAAACATCCACATTTCGTAACATCATACTGCGTTACATCCACACTTCCTAACATCCACACTTTGTAACATCCACATTTCGTAACATCCACACCTTGTAAAATCCACACTTCGTTACATACACACTTCCTAACATCCACACTTTGTAACATCCACACTTTGTAACATCCACACTTTGTAACATCCACACTTCGTTACATCCACACTTTGTAACATCCACACTTCGTAACATTCACACTTCGTTTCATCCACACTTCGTTCATCCATTTTTTGTAACATCCACACTGTGTTACATCCACACTTCGTAACATCCACACTTCGTTACATCCACACTTCGTAGCATCCACACTTCGTAACATCCACATTTCGTTACATCCACACTTCGTTACACCCACACACCGTAACACGCGCAGAAAGCGACAACCTACCGCTGACGGGTCGTAGGAGAAGACGAAGAAGGTAGCGATGAAGAAGATTATCCCGGCCGCCGAGATGAGGTTCCGTGGAGAGTTGAGGCCGACGACCACGATGACGTACACGAGGAAGAAGATCATCATCATCACACACATGATGATCTTCAGCCTGCACGGAGACAACGATATACACACACAGGGTGATCTTATACAAGTACAGGCCTGGGCAGTGGGCACCGTCGTCAGTACTACACTGACTTGGGACTCTACACTGAAGCCCGTATTGACCATGAGGAGACACTGGTATCCAGTATCTGAGGCATCGCAACTAGCTTCGCAGAGTTACCTCCCTTAGTAATAATTATAGTTGGTTCGAACCCCGGCCTGATTATTCGGTTTGTCAGCACCATTCCCAAAGCGGTAAACCTCTACCATCTGCGCAAAGTTGGGTTTTAAAAAACACACAAAAGGTATCCATAATACAAACGAAATACTGTTCAAAAGTTATTCTATGCGCATAGCTGGCCAATTGATTTTCATCATAAACATTATACATCCATATATGGCCTAACCCAGATCAGATTAGTAAGCCTACACAAGCTCAGCGCCATACACGGACGTTTTCCCAAGATGCCTACACAACAGTCAGGTTCTAAGGCACATTAAAGTCGAAGATAATCTTTTTGTTGTTCAATCAACTTGTATTATATAAATCGCTTACGGTGCGTTTCATCCCAAGATACCACACCACCGTCATCGACATGGAACTACAACATTGACGACTTACTTCATCGCCTTCGAGATCCTCCAAAACGCCTTCTCTGTGGCCTGGAGACACCTGATCGACCCCACTAGCCAGCAACAGCAGGTCCATCGCTTCTTGATCGCCGTCTTGGCAACCCTGGAGCAGGTGCGTGGTTATATTTTAAAAGTTGAAACGCCAGATTAAACTCATTGCAAGCACGTTAACCTGAATGATTAAAACATACCCACTCGACACAGGTTCTGGAGACACCATTAATTAGTGTCACATGACATTACACACGGGCCTATGGATGGTTCGAGATTCTCAAATGCCATTTTTCAGCCAAACATGAAACACAAATGACATTTCATAATGTTATGAAAATATGGACAAAAATGTTTTATTTTAAAAGTTGAAACGCCCGATTAAACTAATTGCAAGCACGTTAACCTGAATGATTAAACCAAATCCACTCGAACGGGTTCTGGGGACGCCATTAATTAGTGTCACATGACATTACACACGGGCCTATGGATGGTTCGAGATTCTCAAATGCCATTTTTCAGCCAAACATGAAACACAAATGACATTTCATAATGTTATGAAAATATGGACAAAAATGTTTTATTTTAAAAGTTGAAACGCCCGATTAAACTAATTGCAAGCACGTTAACCTGAATGATTAAACCAAATCCACTCGAACGGGTTCTGGGGACGCCATTAATTAGTGTCACATGACATTACACACGGGCCTATGGATGGTTCGAGATTCTCAAATGCCATTTTCGGCCAAACATGAAACACAAATGACATTTCATAATGTTATGAAAATATGGACAAAAATGTTTGGGCTTTTCGAAAGTCACAATGGATGAATTTCTAGACCTGTTGTCAGTGTCAGTCTGTAACTCAGAACTCGTTGGGTTCACTTTGTTAATTTCGAAAATACAACTTTGGGAGTCAGGTAAAACTGAACTCGAGGACTTTTGTTCCAAAGCTATACACGGACTCGATCTAAACGATTATGCGTCCAGACGCCGTGCAGTTTCGTTTTAATGTCTGCAACACGTGTTAGAGAACTGAAGATGTAAGTTATCTCCCCTTGACGGATGTACCGATTCCATCAAAACCCGACCCTTCCTCAAGTTTACGAGCACCCGTCAAAGCATTAACGAACACCAGCAAGTCGATTCCGTGCACAATTGCAGAGCGGCGTTAAACAAACAAACAAACAATCAAACAAACAGACAAACACACAACCAAACAACCAAACGCTGTTACCGAGCAAGCACACAGACAACACGTCCTACCTGTTCAACCCGTGAAAATTCCGGGGTAGAATAGGTCTTCAGCAACCCATGCTTGCCGTAAAAGGTGACTATGCTTGTCGTAAAAGGCGACTAACGGGATCGGGTGGTCAGGCTCGCTGACTTGGTTGATGCATGTCATTGATCCCTATTGCGTGGATCGATGCTCATGATATTAATCACTGGATTGTCTTGTCCAGACTCGATTATTTACAGACCGCCGTCATATAGCTGGTATATTGCTGAGTGCGGCGTTAAACAACAATCCAACCAACCAACCTACCTGTTCAAGACGTAGAGGGTGAGGATGATGGTGATGACGAGGAACCGGATGGACCCCTCATCACCGAACTTGTAATACATAGCGTAGGCAAAGACGACGTAGTAACACATGAGGAAGAGGATCTGGAACGCGAGGCTGATGAGGCGAGCGTGGTTGTAGACAAACGTCGACATCCGCTTCTGGACGCGATGAACACCACGGCTGAACCAGGTGCCCCTCACTTTCTTCTTAGATTCCTCGTGACAATGACCGTCGGTTTTTGTGCCACCCTGTTAAACAATAAACACAGCATTAGACCACAACAAATTGTTCTGCTGAATCCCGGTGAGGCCGGGATGTTGCTGATAAGGCGAAGGCACTGTAAACTACGGTTATAACGAACTCAAAGGAACCACTAATTTCAGTTCGTCATAACCGTAGTTCGTTATATGCATATATACAACATATGGCCGGGACTAAAAAATAAGTTCGTTATATCGGTCAGTTCGTTATAAGCGTGTTCGTTATAAACGTAGGTTACTGTGTTATATTTTGTCTCTAGGCTTCGAGGAAATTCACACATAATAAAACTAACTGTTAATATCTTTCCATTTTAAAAAAATATTTTTTTCCACACAAATAAGTTTAATTATTGCTATTCCATGGACATGTTGTTGGTAATCCTCAAAAAATATCGTGGAATGTCTTGATGGTCCTATGACGCTCCTTCAGAGAACTACAAACCTTCCGATTCCTCAGTTCCATATCCTTGACCTCCGTTGGCGTCGCAGTGTCTTTGACCTCTACTGACGCTGCTGTTACTATCTTACCATCACTCTGCAAAATGGAAAACCTTGGATTCATACTGGATTTGGGCAGTGACAAGTAACAATTTTTGGTGACTTAAAATTAACAAATCGATCTCAGCGCCACTACTGTCGTCAGTCTATGTTCGCTTTTTTGTTTTGTTTGTTGTTTAACCCCACACTCAGCAATATTTCAGCAATATGACGGCGGTCTGTAAATAATCGAGTCTGGACCAGACAATCCTGTGATTGATATCATGAGCATCGATCCACGCGATCCACCCAATCGATGACATGCAATAACCAAGTCAGCAAGCCTGACCACCAGATCCCGTTAGTCGCCTGTCAGTCTATGTAAAAAGCTGGGAAATAACGTCGGATTTTGGAATCGGACCCTGACTTTAAAATATGAAGGAACGGAAAAGATCGGTGGTGAAAGTGTTACTCAGAGCAACTTTTGCAAAATTTCATTTTCGAGCCACACTAATAAAGCGTGAAACAACATAATCTATGTCCCCTGTCGACAATTGTGGCATGTCCTACAGTTGTAAGTGTGTCTGTTTGCAGGGGACGACAATGAATGACCCGAATATCACAAGGTCACTCGTGAATTAAAAGTTTATGTATAAACTTTATGACACCTTCTGGCGATATTTGTGAACCCAGGATGGTGTATGACTTCTCCGGTGGTTAAAGCATTCGCTCGTCACACCGTAGACCTAGGTTCGATTCCAAACAAGGTTACGACGTATAAAGCCCATTTCTGGAATATATTGATATTGCTGGAATATTGATAAAAGCGGTATAAAACATGTACCCACTCACTGACTAAGCGCTGTTTGTAAGGTTTCTCCACACCGACAGTTCCCTCTGCCCTGGTTCGATTCCTCAAACAGGTGGACGAGTTCATTTTTTGTTTGCACGGCAATCACGAGTTACCTACCCTGACGTTCATCTCGGTGTCTGCCACTATTTCCACCACGTGACCTTCCATGACCTCTGTACGTCTTTCATGGACCTCTTTATGACCTTCGCTGATCTCAGTGTGCTTGCTGTCAATTTCAAGGTGACCGTGTCCAGACTCGACATGGCTCGTGTCAATTTCCAAATGACCTTTTATGACCTCTACGTGACCTTTATCGACCTCCACGGCGTCAACGTATCCATCAACGTATGTCTCTTTCGCCACTGTAACGTCGACCGCGCCACTCTGTGTTGGGGTGAAACGGGTCAATAATGAATATGCGTATGGTTGTTATTAATTTGTGAACGATGTCTAAAACAGTGGAATCTCGTTAGCTCGAGATATCCATATTTCAAAACAACGGAAGTAGCCCTAGTAGACTCGGGGCGTTTGAATAGCCTAATGTTTAAAGGGTTTGCCCGTGGGTTTGATTGAATATTGCTAAAAGCTCCCAAAGGCAACCCTACTCCCTCAATCACCATAGAAGACAAACTGAAGAAAGGTCCAAATTCGGACATACACTACATTTCATAAATAAAGCAGCAACACCCTTTCCACTTGCAATAGAAAGCAGAGTCGATAGTACGATTCCGCATTTTTTGAGACACCATTGCTATGCTGAGATCATCAATGCAATGCCTCAGCATACTGTATAAGAGAAGATTTCAAAATTGCGAACATATAACGACGGACGAACGCCGTAAAATACTAAATATTTTGTTCTCAAATTATGGTGGATTTTATGAAAAATATTTTGTTAATAAAAAAAATGTTCGGTTCATCCATTCTAACAGAAATAGCCCTTGCCCGTGTTAAATCATCATCCTCATCATCATCATCATCATCATCATACCTTCGGGTCTTTCACCTCTGTGACGGTGACGACGACATCGTCCTGGAGTCTGAGCGCAGCCAGCTTACTAGATCGGATACTCATGATGGCGGCCAGGTCCACTCAAACAAAGATCATCTCCCGCGTATCACCGGTGTATCCTCCTGCTAGAAAAGGAATAAGTGAGTTTGAATTTATGCCGCGTTTTGCAATATTTCAGCAATATCACGGCGGGGCATACCCGAAGTGTGTTTGACACATTGTACCCATGTGGGAATCGAACATTTCGGCGCGCAGAGCGAAGCTTGAATCACTTGGCTACCCCCCCTTGGCTATACTCACCGCCAAAAGAAACGCGAATATCATGCATGTTGGTTAATCTATGAAGAATTACTCATACCCAAGAGATATCAGATTGGTCGATGTACAAACGAGCATACTGGTATGTTGTGTGAACCGACGCTCACAAACGCATCACATGTGACGTCATAGATCCATGCCCCAAGATGCGCCATTTTTCTGGAGCAGGATTAGCGTGTAAAGTTTGGCAATCACGTACAGCATATTGTGATAAGAATATAGACGCTCTGTGGTAACGCTTGCCTGGCTGTTAGCTTTGTCATTAACTGGTATGCATCTCTTCTTAACGTACATACTTCTCTGCATGTTATATATGCTTATTGTTTCTTTTGGCGGTATGTGTGTGTGTGTGTGTGTGTGTGTGTGTGTGTGTGTGTGTGTGTGTGTGTGTGTGTGTGTGTATACACACACACGACCAGTTCCAAAGCAATATCAAGCACTATTCGAATATATATATATATATATATATATATATATATATATATATATATATATATATATATATATATATATACACACACACACACGGCCAGTTCCAAAGCAATATCAAGCACTATTCGAATATATATATATATATATATATATATATATATATATATATATATATATATATATATATATATATACACACACACACACACACACGGCCAGTTCCAAAGCAATATCAAGCACTATTCGAATATATATATATATATATATATATATATATATATATATACACACACACACGGCCAGTTCCAAAGCAATATCAAGCACTATTCGAATATATATATATATATATATATATATATATATATATATATATATATATATATATATATATATACACACACACACGGCCAGTTCCAAAGCAATATCAAGCACTATTCGAATGACAACATACCCGACATGACATTCAGACCCCCACCTTAATACACTCTATCCCTATCAAAAGTTGTGTTGTCTATTTCTGTATAAGTGAGTAAGTGAATGTTGCTATACGCCGCAGTATGCGACATCACAGCTACATCACGAGGCATGTAGGTAACATTAGCCAGACATACCAGTCGATAGTGAGTGAGTATGGTTTAACGCCGCTTTTAGCAATATTCCAGCAATATCACGGCGGGGGACACCAGAAATGAGCTTCACACATTGTGCCCATGTCGGGACTCGAACCCGGGTCTTTGGCGTGACGAGCGAACGCTTTAACCACTAGGCTACCCGACCGCCCCTTGTACCAGTCGATAAAACCCCGATCAGCACGGCACGCTGTGAGATCAGGGCGGTAGGAGCAGGTACCACTTTTTTATCGACAAATATTCACAAGAATTTTGTTGAAACCCTCCACCCATTGGCCAACAGCACCACACATACAGAGTATCTGCTGGGAAACCAACTGTAGAGTCAATACAGTTTCATATACATATGTTTAGATCTAATACTAAAAGGTTTTATCTTTTGTCTCTCGTTCTGAAACATGGGACAATTTGACAAGGGCATACTCTCAAGTCGCGTCGTCACTAGATTATCCTGGCACCCAACAGACAATGAGCGAAATCGCGTCAAAACGAATACACAGACATTGAATAGCTTGAAATATTTCTTTGGATTGCACCCGACTTGAAATTGTTTAACAGATCTGGTAACTGATGTTGGTAATTTGAACATTTACATCTTCAGTTGTGAAAGATACACTAGTTTGAGAGCGCAAATGTGTTTATTTACATGTATTTCACACTGTCGGAATACCCTATTAGTCACTACTTAGGTTTTGCCACATTAAAGACAAGAGCGAACTACCCACACCAACAAGCAGACTTACCTTAGCACTGAGCCAGATGGCGACGACGGGAAGGGAAACTTTAACTACATGACATGCGCGACATCAGCACGCCCTGCACGTGTTTCCCGTGCAGTCTGGTCACGTGTAACCCGTCATATATATACCTATATCTACGATCAAGCAACACGACCTGCATTGTTATAGATGCTCATAACTACCGTAGTCGTCCACATAATGGTGACAGGGTGTGTATACCACACATGAGCATAAAAGGTAATTGGTTTCAAAAGAGATATCTTGGTTCCAATGAAATATCACGACCACCTCACATCAAAATAAGGCAAAGATCAAAAAATGATGTGAGCACCATCTACAAGGACCTTCCGTCGGTATATTGAAGGGCGGTCGGGTCGATTCCCCACATGGGTACAATGTGTGAAGCCAATTTCTGGTGCCTCCCGCCGTGATATCGCCAGCTTTCCGAGGCCAGTTTCCACCCTTGCCGAACTAAGCTTGAATTCCGGAGTTACATTTTGGCTGATCTAACGAGTCTCATCTTCTCAAGGCAAGTGAGTTAACTGACTATAAAAGTCCAGTTTCCACCCTTGCCGAACTAGGCTGGTATTATGGAGTTACATTTTGGCTGCACTAACGAGTCTATGCATAGTCCAATCAAAATCGCGCACCGAAATCGAAATCCGGTTCGTAAAGTGTCATGCAGATTTCGGTCGACTGCAGGATTTGCAAAGCATGTGCACCGCTAAATAATTGTCAACAGATATTTTCTATATCTTATCATGTTTTTAATCAAGGTGCTCACGTGATTCGATGCACTTCGCGATGTAAGACTTGTTTAACAATATAGATCTTGATTATCGATCAGATCGTCTTGACTGGGCGCCACCGTTTTGTTTGAAGCAAATGCAAGTGATACGAGAGGTTGAATCTGATTGGTCAATAGGAGAGGCATAGAAAGGACATAACTCGTAATAGCCACTGGTGGCGCTACGATCGAGCCCAGGAATTCCAGCCTAGTTCGGCAAGGGGGGGAACTGGACTTTTAAAGTCAGTTAACTCTCTTGCCTCGGGAAGATGAACGAGTCTATGTATAGTCCAATAAAAATCGAACTAGAACTAAAGAAGGAAAAAGGAACTAGACATCCGGTTCTTTCGGTCGACTGCAGGATTTGCAAAGCATGTTTACCGTCAACTAGGCGTTGACAGATATTTTCCAAATCTGTTCATGTTTTCAATCAAGAAGCTCAAGTTATTTGATGCACTTCACGATGTAAGACCCGTTTTATTATAATACAGATCTTGATTATCGACCAGATGGTCTTGATTGGGCGCCGCCATTTTGTTTTGAAGCAAATGCAAGTGATATGAGAGATGGAAATTGATTGGTCAATAGGAGGGACATAGAAGGGACATAAAACTTAACAGCCACTGGTGGTGCTACGACGAGCCTTCAAATTCCAGTCTAGTTAGGCAAGGGTGGAAACTGGACTTTTATAGTCAGTTAACGCCCTTGCCTGGGGAAGATGTGATATTGCTGGAATATTGCTAAAAGCGGCGTAAAACCAAACTTACTTATGGTGATGATGCTTTATCTCACCGGTTGTCAAAGCAACGCCATGAAGTGGGCAAGTCATGTGGCGCTTACTCTCAAGCAAAGGGACAGTTCCTATGTGCCGCCTATTGTAGTGAACACGGTACAGCTGCACTAGGTGTGCCGTGATTGGCGAATGGGGTAATTATCATGTACGCATCTCCGTTGTTAAAGCGTGGCCATATTTTTTCGACGGTTTGATTATTTGATTCTGAAGTGGACTTAGTGGCATCATGTATTCATACATTCATGTAGAAATATATCGGGTAAAACTCTGGATTCGCCACAACTTGGGCTACATCAATTCACATCGAAAACACCTCCGACTCAACTGTAAATAATCACATGGATTTGTTGCTTAATGCATTATTCTTGAATATAATAATTGGGTCAGGAAGGTCATACAAGTGGCAATTGCGTGGATCGATACTCATGATGCCAATCCCTGGATTGTCTGGTCCAGCCCCTATTATTTACAGACCGCCGTCATATAGCTGGAATATTGCGAATATGGGAGTGCGGCGTTAAAATCATACAAGTGGAATAGATGTATATGCAAACGAAATAGATATATTCTAAACAGCCCCTATCAATGCATGTGAATTAAAGTACACAGTGGTGCATGTATAACTGGCTCTATGCAGAGCGCCAAACTTATGTTAGTCATCACTACTGTCGAACTGTTGGCAGCCACAGAGGGACACGAAGGGCAAAGACGGAAGTTGTGGAAAATGTCACAACACACCACACGGGACTAGTGAGGTAGCTGCAGTAAATTGAAAAATGATAACAAAGAGTGAAATAGCAGTTTAAATGTGACAGCTGTGTTATATAGCAAATTCTGGAATTACAAACACAAAAGATCAGGGTGCCGTTGTAGAAAACAACTTTAGCGCTACGACTGTAGTCTGTGTTAAGATCTGGGAGTTACGGTCCCCTCAGCGCTAAGATCGCTCTGTACAACGGCACCCAGCGTCATAACCCTCTCTCCCCTCTCAAAGAGAGAGTTAGGCCCCCCCCCCCCCCCCCCCCCCCCAGCGCTAAGATCCTCTGTACAACGGCACCCAGCGTCATAACCCTCTCCCTCTCTCCCCTCTCAAAGAGAGAGTTAGGGTCCCCCCCAGCGCTAAGATCCTCTGTACAACGGCACCCAGCGTCATAACCCTCTCCCTCTCTCCCCTCTCAAAGAGAGAGTTAGGGTCCCCCCAGCGCTAAGATCCTCTGTACAACGGCACCCAGCGTCATAACCCTCTCCCTCTCTCCCCTCTCAAAGAGAGAGTTAGGGTCCCCCCCAGCGCTAAGATCCTCTGTACAACGGCACCCAGCGTCATAACCCTCTCCCTCTCTCCCCTCTCAAAGAGAGAGTTAGGGTCCCCCCAGCGCTAAGATCCTCTGTACAACGGCACCCAGCGTCATAACCCTCTCCCTCTCTC